TGGCAGATTAGGTAACTGACTCAGTTTGTGGCTGGAGCTAAGGTGCTTAACTAAAGCCAAGTTGCAAAGGGCCTCTTTACAAATCATTTTCATTTTATTCTCTTGAAAATGGGAAACAAAGATATTTTAGATAGAAGGCATGATTAAATGTGTGATTTAGGGAGATAACTCAAGCTAGATTTAGTTAGATGGGCAGCAATTAGAGGCAATAGTCCAAATGGGAGATAATGAGGACCTGACCTGACATAGGGCAATAATAGCAGTATGAATGCACATGAGGAAGTACAAATTGATTAAATGCTTGAGGATATGAGAAGAAAACCTGGAGATAAAATATTAAGTATTTTTACTTGCAATGTTTTGCTAGGGATTCCAAACTTCAGAAGATTTGAATTTCTGAATAAGAGACATATCAGATATTTAAGGGGGAAAAATACAGGGTTACAGGCAGTCTGTTCATGGTGGGGAAAAAAACCCACCGATTTATTTTCATGGTTATCATATCTGAAATGGTTACTATATATTAATATTTCAAAAGTCAGGGATTATGTTGTTTTCATTGGGGATTAGCAACTTAAAGGAAATGGTTCAAAGCTTCATTTATTTTGGAGACTAGTACTTGACGAGTTATTTCTGCTCTTAAAAATTTATCTCAGTGTAGTCTAGGGTGCAAGATGTTTCTTAGAGATCAGCACCAAAAGGAAGAGGAAGAAAGAGGGTTGAGCAGATGGAGAGCTCTAGAGTTTGGACTCCCCTTCAGAATGTCCCATCCCAGGCTAGTCACTGGATATGGACTGCCTCCGGAATGGCATGACATCAAGATGTAGTTCTCTATACCTGGGGCAGACTCTGAAGAGCAAAGCAGCTCTTGTTGCCCATAACTTGGCAGTAAACCCTTTCTTGAAAGGGATCTGGGAAGTGCACCTCTGTTTCAACCTCACATGGATTGCAAGGTTTTTGGCCAAATGTGTGAAGTAGGGCCTCATCCAACTACGATTACTGGTAGCTGAAGTAGCCAACTATTAGTTTTTTGCACCCGTATCATCAATATACAGCCATTTCTCTGTCATTACAAATATTAAACAATTTTCAATTGTAAAACGATAGTGAATTATGGTCCTATCACATTCATTATGTGGGTGTAAAACCTGGACTAGACAACAATGTCATAACTACATTTGCTTTTGGAATTAAGTGATGGGTATATTTTACATCTGAATAAAAAGAAGAAGAAATTGAACTTTAAGACAAGAAAAATATTTATCTCAGAATACACATTGCTTCTTTTTCCAAGTTTTTCCCAGTTGTGGTATATGACATGCTTAGTCATAATGGCAGCAGAGTGAGGTGTCAGTTTTTATTTTTCAGGAGTGAAGCTATATCTTGCATATGACACCAAAGGAAAAATATATGAATTAGACTTCATAAAGATTAAAAACTTTTGTGCTTTAAAGGACAATATCACAAAAGTAAAAAGCTCACAAAATGGGAGGAAATATTTTCAAATCATATGTTTGACAAGGGTCTAGTATCCATTCTGTATAAAGAACTCCTATAACTCAATAACAAAAAGACACACCAGTCAATTAGAATATGGGCAAAGGATTGAAGAGACATTTCTCCAAAGAAGATATACAACTAGCCAATAGGCACATGAAAGATGCTCAGCATCACTAGCCATCAGGGAAATGCAAATCAAAACCACAAGAAGATATCACTTCACATCCACTAGGATGGCAGAATCAAAAGGACAGATAAGAAGTGATGGCAAGGATGTGGAGAAATTAGAACCCTCATACATTGCTGGTGGGGAAATAAAATGGTATAGCTTCTTTGGAAAACAGCTTGGGAGTTCCTCAAAAAGTTAAACATAGAGTTATCATTTGACCCAGCAATTCCACTCCTAGGTATATACCCAAGAGAAATGAAAACATATGTTCACACAAAGATTTGTACAGGAATGAAAGCAGCATTATCTATAATAGCCAAAAAGTCCATCAGCTGATGAACAGATAAACAAAATACGACATAACCATGTAAGGCATATTATTCAGCCTAAAAAGGCATGAAGTACTGATACATGCATAATGTGTATCTTGAAAACATTATGCTAAATGACAGAAACTAGACACAAAAGGTCAAATATTGTATTATTCCATTTACATTAAATGTCCAGAATAGGCAAATCCATAGGGTCAGAAAGTGTATTGATGGTTGCCAGGGGCTGATGGAGAGGAGAGAATTGAGAGTGACAGCTAATTGGGTTTCTTTTTGTGAGATGAAATTAGATAGTGATGATGGTTGCACAACTTTGTGAATATACGAAAAATCACTGCATTGTACACTATAAAAGAGTGAATTGTTTTGTGAATTATATCTCAATTAAAATAAAGATTATCCCCTCCAAAAAAAGTGATTCCATAGAACCTGGTAATGTGGTAATTGAGATTTGAGCTGAGTGAGAGTGAAAGAAAAAGTTTCTATCCTGAGGGATTGGGTGAGTGAGTAGTAATGCCAACACTAAGATGCGGGTTGGGGTGGAAGTGGGGGCCACCAGCAGAATTAGGCCTGGAAGTCAAGATAATGAGTTTGGTTTAGAAAATACTGACCTTTTAGTCGTATATGGGGTACTGTTTTGGGGGCAGTTTGAGAAACTTAGGTCTGGATACTAAAAGAGATGTTGACGAAAATAATCCATAACCAATCTATAAATGAAAATTTGGGAGAGTTTATTCTGAGCTTAAATTTTAGGATTATAACCCCGGAGAGTCTTTCCACAAAGGAACAGAGCACTCCAAAGAAGTGGGGGTATAAGGGTGGTTATATACCTTCAAAGAGGGTGTTTCACATATGATTGAAATGTCCCTCCCACAATAGTCACAAGATTGCCCTGTTGGCACAGCACTTGATGGACACAGCAGGTAGTGGGTCTGCTATCTTGGTGGGTGTAGCAGGAGGCAAGTCTATTGTCTCCAGCTGGGCGGTCACAGGTGAGCGCAGCAATCAGCTTCTAGCCTAAGGAAAGATGCTTAATCCTTAAGGAGACTCCAAGTTGGGAGGGGGAGGGAAGTTGCACCTTTATCTCAAGGGCCTTTGCTCTTGCCATAGGGAATCTCTAAAGCAGGTATACAATGCATGCTCAGCGGCCTCGGTCAGGCCCTTTTGGAAAGACAAGGTCAGGCCAAATTAGGTTTACACCAAAATGGCTTCCTCGTATATTCCAATATATCCCATTACTTGCCATTTTTATTTGACGGAGAGATGAGAGTTAAGAGATTTAGGATTAGTGTCATCCAGATTTCGGTAATAGCTGAAACCAAAGAAAAGGTATGACAGTATTCAGCAAAGAGTTTGGACCTTGGGGGATTTGCTTGAACCACGAGGTTAGTTGAAAGAAAAAGAACCTGTGAATCTGAAAAGGAGGATTAGTGTGATAGGAGGAAAACCAGGGTGGAGCAGGTTTTTGGACATCTGGGAAGTATAAGTGTTGTTCTGTAAGATAAGGGTAAGAGGAGCCCTGAAGCCAAAGTCACAGCTTACTCACCATTCTCATTCTCTACTAAGAATCAGATTAAAACCAGCCATTTCTCCTTCACCTTGTTTTTTCTGTGTTACTACTGCGATAGGAACCAGAGAACATAAACTTTGAGAGCTTATGTCACTTTGAGAAAAGTAGTTCTGTCAAGTACAATGATGGAAGAGCGTCTTGTGTTGAAGTAATAGGACATTTCAGTCCTAGAAGGCAACTCAGAAATAGGAGGCATTTTAGAGCCCCAGATGGACTGAGAGGCTGGATTGTCAAAAGGCTGGCTTTATTCACTCTGTATTGTCAGTTGCCCTGGCTTATAGTAGCTTTCTGTTGCCAGAGCCTGCAGATGAGAACTAGCAGAAGAGCACATTGTTTGACTAAGGTCCAAGTTTTTGAAATTGTCTTAATTCTTACACAATCTTGCTAAGGAAAAAACCTCCCTAAACAAACAAGCAGACAAAAAAGAGAAACTCTTATTTTCATCCTGGTTCCTCCAGAAGACCCCAAATCCCAGAATTATACAATTAATAACTATTGATCAAGAATGTGCAAAAACTTTTGTTCAAGTGTTTTAATCTAATAAATATCCTAACTAGCTGGGGTTTTTTTTCTGAAGAAGATTCACCCTGAGCTAACATCCATGCCAATCTTCCTGTACTTTTTAGAATGTGGGCTGCCAGCACAGCAAAGCCACTAACAGAGCGGTGATCCACACCTGGGATTGGAACTGGGGCCGCCAAAGCCAAGCGCGCTGAACTTAACCACTAGGCCACCAGGGCTGGCCCTAACCAGCTCTTTTTGATAACAGTTTCCAGGTTACCAGGACTAGGATATACTTTTTGTTTGTTTGTTTTTCCTTTTTATTCCTAAAGTTGTTTCTCTAATTATAAGCAAAAAAATACTGGGAGACCTAAGGATTCAGCATTCTTCTCTATGATCGTGACTAGTCTTCCTATGGTCCTGATTAGTGTTTCTCTTTTTTTCAAGTGAGGAGATCCAGGCAGAAGGAGGCTGATTTGAAATGATGAATCACTGTAGACTGCTTATTAGAGCCCTGGAGATATGTGATGTCAGGAGACTACTGCAGGCTATCTCCTTCTGTAGCTGGAGATTGTTGACTTGGTCTCAAAGTTCATTATTTCTTTACTTGGGAAATATGCAAAGTATTTGCTTTCTTCTTAATTTCTTTTGAGCACTTCATAATTTATGAAGCCATTTCATATCCATCATCTTGTTACAACTTCACCTCAACCCTAAGAAATAGGTAGTTTAGGTTTTACCATCATTGTTTTACAAATGAAGTGAGAGATTCAGAGAGGTTAAGCAATTTACCCAAATTTATATGGTTTCCAAGTGTTGGCACCAGAGCTAGCTCTCAATCTTGTGACTTCCCTTCCAGTATCTTTCCATAAGACATGTTGCTTTTGAAGTCTGGTCAGTGCTTCATTGTATGCCTTTTCTTTTAACACAGACTCAAACAAAGGACTTTTTATTCCCTTCCCCAACCGGGAAATAAAAGATTCCCTAATGAATACTTCTGCAACCCAGGGCAATGGTATACCAGATCAGAAATTAGACACTTTTCCACTTGGGACACAGGTAATGTATTCACTTTCCTGTTGATTTGTTGACTAGTCAATGATTAATACTAATAATTCAGTGGACTCTCAATTATTTATGAAAATCTAAGAGGACTTGTTTGATGAAGGCATTTTAGACCCTTTAAAAGGAAAGGGCAGGACAGGATGCAGAGGACCTTCTGCATTAATTTCAATCTCCCCTTTCCCCACTAACCTGTTATCAAATGTAGTATATTTATACATATAACTTTAGCACGATTTATGCCAGATATTTTTGTCCCTCAAACAGTAATACAACTTGTTATAGTTTTTGGCTGGTTTTAAAATTTCTCCGCCCTACCCGATGTCTCCATCTCCTGTTACCTTGCTCCTTACATTTTCTATCTCTGCCTTTTAATTACCGAACCTTAGATCTCAAGAGTGGCTTTCCCAAAGCTGCCTCTTCATTGGAACATAAAAAAGAAGAGTTAAGGGGTAAAGATGTCATCGAAGTTGTGGGCAATGGGGAGGTAGAGATCATGCAAGATGGGGGAAGAATTAAAAATAAGTTTCTAGTGAAAAAATTGGTGGGAGGGCGATACAACCATTGTATAAGACTTATTTGTATGAGTGACTATGATGCAGAAGTGACGACTTTCTTTTCAACTTCTTTTTTCCTCTGCATTTTATTTGATAAATTATGATAAATGAAATTGCTGAAAATAGCCTGAAAGAGAAAGAAAAGAAGCAAAGGCTCTGATAAACCCACAATGTGGATAATCAACACTGTACTAATAAAAAGTTAGTAAGATTTTTTTCAGTTTGAGTATATAAAACGTTTATTTTATAAAAAGATTAGCATTTAGTTGGTTTCTTTGTTTTTGGAGATTCCACTTGGGTGACAGAAACTATCTTGGTTACCATTTTTAAAAATCTTAGTGTTGATTTAAAGGAAATGGAGACAAACGATACTCCAATCTAAAGTTAAATAGCACTTTTTAGATTAAAAAAAAATTCTTTGAAATTACTTCTTGAAGTGCGAGAAAAAGGAAATTGAATAGTTTGTTCTATATCCTTTTAGTTTAAGAAATAAGGAAGTAGGGTTTCTTTTTTGTTAAATGGAAATCTTTTTTTTTTTTTTTTTAGATTTTATTTTTCCTTTTTCTCCCTAAAACCCCCTGGTACGTAGTTGTATATTTTTTAGATGTGGGTCTTTCTACCTGTGGCATGTGGGGTGTCGCCTCAGCGTGGCTTGATGAGCAGTGCCATGTCCGAGCAGTGCCATGTCCACGTCCAGGATCCCAACCAGCGAAGCCCTGGGCCGCTGCAGCGGAGCGCATGAACTTAACCACTCGGCCATTGCGCCGGCCCCGGAAGTAGGGATTCTTTCTCTGCCTAACTACCAAAAAGATACTGAGTACTTTAACTTGATTTTTGAAAAAGCAAACCCTATATGGCTTTCTATTTTGTATTAATCCTTGCTTAATTATACCTCAGATTAATTTTCAGCCTACTAAAACTCCCAGTAGCTCCTGTGGTCAATACTCAGCTTTACCAGAAGGTAAAGGTAAAATAAGTATGAGAATTCTTTAAATAGAAAAAATAAAGTTGGAAAAGGTGGCGCCATCTAATTTCTATACTGAACTATCTGAAGCAGAGAAAATATGGTATTTCACTGGTCTATCCTTTACCACCTAAGGATATCCTGTATTTTCAAGGAGTCTCCTTACCTACTCCAAAGCAGCTCTGAAATCTCTTTGTGTTGTGGCTGTTTTAAAATAGGCTTAAACCTGGACCTTTGAAGGTCTGTTCCCTAGTTTGCAGGGATGGACTTGCTCACCAATAGGAAAGTATTTTGAATCCTCGGTGTAGTAAGCTCACATCTTAATGCCCATTGACTCCCTTCTCCTAAACTTTCAAACTTTTTTTAGATGCAGGAAGTGGCAAGAAGGGAGATGCCAAGTGACAATCACCAGGAGGATGGTAAATATTTCACTCACTGATCCACACTAATCAGAGAAATCTAGATGTGAAGGGATTTGGGTGGGAGAAGATGGAGATGTCTCAGCCCTGGGGCCCTATGTGGTCACCTCTTTTCTGCTTTTGTAAGGGGCTGCCTTGGACGCTCAGTGTCCTGTGAGGCCTATATGGATGAAGAAGGGATATTCTGACTTCCTTTGTTCTTGACTTTTTGTATTGGCTGACTATTCCTTGTTTTATTTTTTTCTTAACTTTCTTGCCTTCTTTTGGATTTATTATGTTTTTATGTACCCATTTTTTCCTTCTACTATTATTGTATAACTTCTACTAAGTTATACACTATTTCTGTACTTTTAGTATTATTCCCCAAACTACAATGTGTCCTTAACTTAATTTTAAAATTAATCATACCTTAACTGTAATTCAAAGACCTTAAGTACTTTACTCCTTTTAATCCCTCCTGATTTATGTATTATTATTATGGATTTTAATTCTCTATATTTTTTAAAACCCACAGATAGTATTTTTACACAGTCAATGTTCATTTAAATTTATTCATATGTTTACCACTTTGTTTCCTCTTCTTTTCTTTTTTTCATCCCAGACTTCCTTTCTGAGGTCATTTTCCTCTAGCTTACAGTTCCTCTTTTAGGATTTCCTTTAGTGTGGGTCTACTGGTGATGAACTCTTTCAGTTTTTGTTTGTTGAAAATATCTCTATTTTACCATCATTCTTAAAGGATATTTTTGCTGGGTATAAATTTCTAGGTTGGCAGTTATTTCTTTCAGAATATTGAAGGTATTCCACTGTAGTCCATTTTTTGTGGTTGCTTTTGAGAAGTCGGCTGGAGGTCTCTCACTCCTGAAAGGATAATCTATCTTTTTTCTTCTGCCTGCTTTTAAGATTTTCCAACTGTCTTTGGTTTTCTGCAGTTTCACTATGACTTGTAGATTTCTTTTTATTTATCCTATTTAGTATTTTTTTACACTGGAATCTGTGAATTCTGTCTTATTAGTTCTGGAAAGTGCTTCACATATTGTCTCCCATTTTTTCTCTGTTGTCTTTCTGAGACTCTTGAGTAAATAAATACATGTCAGAGATTTTCACTTTGTTCTCTTTGTCTCTTATTATTTTATATTTTTCATGTTTTTCTATCTGATCTGCATTCTGGATAATTCCTTATGACTCATCTTTAAGTTTCCTAACATTCTCTTCAGCTGTATCTAATCTGCTGTTAATCTTGTCTGCTGAATTCTTAATTTCAATTATTTTCTTTTCATTTTCATAAGTTTGATTTGGTTCTTTTTCAAATATGCTGGATCATTTTTTATAAGCAGAAAATTTCTAGCTTGTTTTATATTTCTTTAAACATAGTAAACATAGACGTTGTATAGGCTGCATCTGTTAATTCCACTATCTGAAGTTTTTATGGGTCTGTGTTTGTTTTGTGGGTCTGTATTTTTTCTACTCATTCTCATTTATATTGTCTTGTTTCCTTTTTTGTTTGTTTGTTTTGGCTATTTGCTGGCTATTATATTTGTGGGGTTTTTTTTTTTTTTTTGAGGAAGATTAGCCCTGAGCTAACTATTGCCAATCCTCCTCTTTTTGCTGAGGAAGACTGGCCCTGAGCTAACATCCATGCCCATCTTCCTCTACTTTATACGTGGGATGCCTATCACAGCGTGGCTTTTGCCAAACGGTGCCATGTCTGCACCTGGGATCTGAACCAGTGAACCCTGGGCTGCCAAGAAGTGGAATGTGTGAACTTAACTGCTGTGCCACCAGGCCAGCCCCTGGCTATTAAATTTGAAACACTATTTGTAGAAATTAGTTAAAGTGAAGGTATCTTTTCCAGATCAGATTTTCATTTACTTCTACCAGGTGCTCGAGCCACTGTCAGTTTGGAATCATCTTAATCCAGGCTCAAGGTTGAGGTTCCCTGGACCACCCAAATGATGCAAATCTGGATTACCAGTCAGTACAAGGGCTGGTTTATTTCCAATTTACTTTTACTCTGAAGGTTGTATCCTGCTCAGGGTTCCACCTTAATGTGTGTGTGTGTGTCAGGGGGTGGTTTGTCATATTCCTCACCTTGGATAGATCCTGGATTTAGACACATATACTTGCTACCCTAAAACTCCTTGAGGTAAAAGTGACTTTAAGTGTTACACTTACTTATATGAGTTTTTGCTGCTTCCTAGATTTAGGTCTAGAAATTATTCACCAGCTTATTAGCTCTTTGATGCTTTTAAGAACACATATCATCTACCTTTTTTAATGTCAACAGAAGGGATAGTCTGAATTATCTAATCTCATTACTTGTTCTTAAATTCTTTTTGTTACATAAAGATATTGTTCTACAACCTTTCCCCCATCGTATAGGCTGGCCCTGGATAAAACACTGATATTCTTATAGGTCCTATAGAGCTAGAAGCTACTTGGTTCCACGTTTTTTAAGTCAACGTGACTAACTCAGATATAGTATTTTTTGTTTTCTAAGGAAGCCCTTCAAGCATGTGAAGATCTGAAAGCCCCAAAGAACACAAAGACTTCTCTTTTTCTCTACTGCTCTACTTGCCCCACTCTGAGGCTTTTTGGAGATGACAGATAGAGGTGTCTGAGAGATATGCTTTATAGCTGGGTTAGGGATTTTCATAGGTTTTACATTCCCTGCCATTTAATTGGCATAGAACAGTGGTTCCTGTTGCATGAACCTAGAACATATGGGTGGAGTTTGGGGGTGGGAGTGGACCTAGCTTTATTGTGAGGAGTCTATGAAATCATACAGCTACCAACTATTTTCTATAGATTGAATACATAAGATCACAACAGTTGTCGTGTGGGGGCACACCAAATTTTTTGATATGAAGATAGTATCTAGAAAACTCTGACAGTACAGCTTTAGAAGGAAGTTACTGGGGGATTAGATTGACATGAAATTTATCTCCAGACTGTTGCAGATTCCTTACTTTTTACACAGTGTACAACATCTTTTGTTGTTCTGTGTGGAAGTCTTTTCTTCACTATGCTACCATTTATCGAAATTATAAACCATCCCTTATCTGAGAACTTTTTCTGGTAGACAGAGATATGTCCAGTGAACAGAGTTACCCTAACTGGGCCAAGAAGAATTCTCATTATATTTTGGGTTTTTTTTCTTGGTGATGGTTAGAATTCAGACACTACTCGCCTCGTCAGTCCACAGTCCGATCCCCGGAGAAGATGGCTAGAGAAGGATACCGAATGTCTTTTTTGGAAAATAAGTCTTCAGGTTCTTCTCCAGAAAAGGACTTGGTACTAAAACCTGATACATATCAGCTTAACCATAATGCCTCATTGGGTAAACGCCTGGATGTGGGTGATTCTAGCCAGATTCATCCCTGTCAGTTACCTTCAGATGTTGGTCTAGAAAATTATGATAGTCATTTTTCTCAAACTCTATCGCTGCACGGAAGTCTTGGTAAAAGGCCTCAGAGAAACAAGAACTACCGAGAATATAGCATAAAGCCTTCAAATGACATGAAGGCTGCCACATCCCATTCCTGTGGAGACTTAATGACTTCTCTGTCAAACTTTGACTCCAGCGCTGGAAGGCTTTTGAAGCTCAGTTCAGGTAATAGCTTCTGTCACTTTATAGGCCTTTTTCATAGGCATGATGATGGAAAGTATAACTGGAAATTTTGGAATTAACATTTCTTAAATTGCATTAGCATTTCTTAAATTGTATTTCAGGGTCACAAATGGTCCAGGGAACCTCTAGAAATCTGCTTGGTATTAATTTAACATGATAGATATATTAGAGAAAATTTATACAAATGTGAGCTTCATAACTATATGTTATTTTGGTTAAATGTATCCTGGGATGTATTTCTTGTAGCATCATCTTCTCTGGCCATAGTCACTTCTATTCTGAGTTACTTTGAGAAAAAGCTAGTTCCAGGGTAAGTGATGGAGACCACTCTTCAGTTATTTGTTTATTTATTAAACCAAATTTATTAAATACCTACTATGTGCCAGATACTATTCTAGCTCTGCACATAAAGTAGCAAACAAAAATAAAGTTCATGTACACTTTACAGAAGTAAAAAATAAGTCCGTACTTTCATGGATCTTATATTCTAATGGGGTAAAACAGATGATAAACAAGTTAACATATAAATATATGTCAGGTTATGGTAAGGTCTGTGAAGAAAAATAATATAAGGATATCGAGGGTAGTAAGGAGGATATGATGTTTTAGATAGAATGGTCAGGGAAAGCTTCTTTGATGAGGTATCGTAAAAGTAGAGACTTGAATGAAGTGAGAGTGTAAGCCATGTGGCTAACTGGGGGAGGAACTTTATAGATAGTGGAAATAGTAAGTGCAAAGTTCTCGAGGCTGGAATATGCTTGGCATGTTCAAGGAACAATGAGGAGGCCTGCGTGACTGCAGCAGAGTGAGCCAGGTGAAGTATATAGATGAAGTTAGGTAGCCAGACTTTTATTCTGGGTGAGATCAGAACCTGTTGAAGAGTTTGTAGTGGAGGATTGACATGATCTGATTTAAGAATTATTCTGGCTGCTGGATTGAGCATAGACAATGGGAAGCAAGAATAGAAATAAAAAATACCATTTAAGAGGTTAGAATCCACATAAGAGATGAGATGATGGTATCTGGGGCTGGAGACATAGTGGTAGAGGTGGTGAGAAGTAGTCAGATTATGAGTATGTTCTGAAGACAACACCTCATGATGCACTGAGGGTGAAATTTGAGAGAAAGAGGGTCAAGGATGACTCTCGAGTTTCAAGTCTGAATAACTGGAAGAATGGAGTTATCACTTACTAAGATGGAAAAGAATGGGAGGGACAGGTTTTAGGGTAGATAGAGTTTAGTCTTAGACATCTTAAGTTTGAGGTGCCTATTGAAACTTCTCAGAGATGTCAATTTGATAATTAGACATATTAGTCTAGAGTTAGGGAAGAAGGTGTGGCTGGGAACTATAAGTAAATGGATGGCATTAAAACTGAGACTGAATGAGATCTCACCTGGGGATTGAATATAGATAGGAAAAAGATCTGAGGACTGATCCTGAGCCGTCCAATAATCAGAAACTGGGTAGATGAAGAGAAATCAGCGTGGAAAGCAAGAAAGAAGCAGCCAGAAGATAGGAGAAAAAAAAACTCAAGAGGGAGTGATATCCTGGAAGCCAAGTAAAGAAAATGTTTCAAGAAGGAGGGAGTGATTGATCAATACTATATCAGATATCTTTGATAGAGAGGGCATGAGCCTGGGACTGAGAAGTGATTATGATATTTGGCAACACAGAAGACTTTAATGAGCAACTTGAGGAGATGAGAGGTTAATAAAACCCTTATTGAGGTCAGTTCAAGGAAGAATTGCAGTAAAGGCAATAGAGTTACTGAATACATACGACCCCTTCAAGGAGCTTTGTGGTGAAGGGGAGCAGAAAAATGGAACCGTAGCTAGAATGGCAATTAGATCAAGGAAATCCTGATGGAAATGATCCAGTAGAGGGGAAATTGATGATGCAGGAGAGAAAAGGGACAATTACAAGAAGAAAAATCCTTAGGTAGTCAAGAGGAGATGGAATCTAGTCCATCAGTGGAGAAGTTGGCCTTAGATAGAATCACAGACAGTTCATCTATTGTAATAAGAAGGAAGGCAGAATATTTATGGATACAAATACAGGTGAGTTGGTAGATTTAGTGTGTAAATGTTTACATATAGATGTTTACTTTGATTGCCTCTGTTTTTCTCAGGGAAATAAAGGAGATCTGTACCTGAGAGTGAGGAGGGAAGAGAAGGAAAAGGTGTTGGGCTTTTGAGGAGAAAAGAGATGTGAAATAGTCATTTCAGAAAATAGAAGAGTAAATTGACTACAGTAATGTATTAGGATAGCTGGGCAGTACCAGGGCCCAGTTAAGATAATGGTCATGACTTTAAAGTGAAGACAGAAGAAATGCTGGTTCTCCAGCCACTTTACACTGCTCCTGTGTAGGCTTGGAATATGTGGATAGCTGGATTTAACCAGAATTGGAGTTTTGTCAGGTGGACGGAAAGAGAAAGGATCCAGAGTGTTGAGGGTGTATACTAGGGAGAGGTAATTATGACCTTTGGGCTCCAGGGTAAGGATGGAAGTGGAACATGAGAGAATTGAAGGGCAGGTTCATCTCCCAACCTGTTTCCTCCACAGATCTGTATGCCACAACCCATTTCAACAGTGACCCTGCTCTGCTGGTCAATGTAGAGCAACAGTTGTCCACAAGCCTCACTGATTTAACACCAGCACGTGGTTCTTTCCCAAACAACTCTATCTTGGGAGACTCTCTGCGGACACTGCTGTTGCCCTCTAGGACTTCAGAAAACCGAGAGAGTTTGACCAAGAGATCATTAAGCCCATCGAGGAGAGGATTCAAACGGAAGGACAACATCCTTGCCACCCTGAATCCAAAGCATGGTTTCAGAGATCCTACAGGCAGCGAGGCAAGTGTTGGCTTGTTTGTGCTTGTGTAAGAAACACATCAAGTCCTGTTCCAGAATTAGGTTCTGTTAGGGGTGGTGGTGGTTCTGACCAAGAGTGATAGAGGTTCAAAGGGATTTTCAGAGGCCAGAGGTTAATACTGGCAGGCCAAAGCCTGTGATTTTTCTGCCATTAGGAAAGTGATTCCCTTTCTGATGCGTTTCCTCATTTATATCACAGGGGAAAAGGTCCCTAATCTACTTTCAGAGCATAAACATGGTGGGGAAGTACTTTGGTAATAAGAAGTGGTGGACAGAGTTTACCACAGGAAGGAATGCAGAGGTTGCCAGCGGCTCAGGATTGGCCAAAGAGTGATCTCTGTAGCACTGATGTTTTGTTTGTTTGTTTTTTGAGGAAAGTTAGCCCTGAGCTAACATCTGTTGCCAATCTTCCTCTTTTTGCTGAGGAAGACTGGCCCTGAGCTAACATCCATGCCCATCTTCCTCTACTTTATATGTGGGACGCCTACCACAACATGGCTTGTCCTGTGGTGTCATGTCTGCATCCGGGATCCGAACCGGCGAACCCCAGGCCGCTGAAGTGGAACATGCGAACTTAACCGCTGCACCACCTGGCCGGCTCCAGCATTGATGTTTATAATCTTATCATGTTTACACATTTGCTTTGGCCACAAATGACTAACTTGTTTATGACCGTTCTTCTAAAAGCATCGCTTTTTTGTCTAGAAATAAAATTATTCCAATTTTTTTCCAAAGTTGCAGAAAGCAGAAGATGAATTAGATTATCCAAGGGATTTTTAGCTGAGCGTGGTTCAGAGAAGGAACCAAACATCAAGAACCATTCTCACACATACAATATAATTCGTTTTATGAAATTATAGTATAGCAGTTAATGTTGTACAATAGAACTTCATTATTATTCAGTTATTAAATTTTGTCCCTGCCTTCGCATATATCCCTTCATGGAGCATGCCTTCCTCTCTCCTCTCATCTGTTTTTCTCCAAGCCCTACTTTCATTGTGAAGCCTTCTCTTTAGTTAAAGGAACCACAGCACTCAGGACTCTCTCTTCCATTGAACCCATGATCCTTTGTCATATGAAACATTTATTTAATCATTTACTGCCCTATAAGGAAGCAGGGGATTTGATCAAAAACAACTATTTCTAATCACTTATTTTTCAGTTGTTGGAAATCTCTTTTGCCCATTGCCATGGGTTTACAAGGTGGTGGGGTTTTTTGGTGGTTGTTATTTGCTTTTTTGACTCTTTAAATATTTTCTATTCAGTTTTCAAAATTTTGGAGGTAGTTATAGTTTTTGTGCACCAAAGGGGGCAGTCTTGTAATACTTCCTTGGCTTTTTGGTCCCTTTTTTTTTTTTTTTTTCCGTTTTCAGCCACTGGATGCCTATTGTTCCAGGCAAAAGTACTGTGTGTTAATGTATTTACAGTGAAGGTACGGCAACACTTAGGATAATTGGGATGCTACATTAATAAGACATGTTCTAGGAAATTTTTTCACCTCAATTTCATGTTATGTTGTTAAAATAGCAATTAAAATCTCAATGTACTTTTCTGGACTATCTTAAAAACTCCTATTTCTTTTTCCCTGTTTGATACTATTTTTCTTTACATGAGAAGCTGTAAAAGAGCTGCTTAAATATGAATGTAAAAGAAATACACTGTTCAGTTTCCAGAAAGGTATAAGCCAGAAAATAGCTAAAAAGAGCATTTAAGAAGTTATATATATAAAAAAAAAAATCCCATGATATGGAAAATTAAACTAAACATGAATTTGTGATTAGAAAATTTATTTTTACCAACTCACTTTAGAATCATAGACAAATTATAAAAATTAATTTTAAAAAAAGCCATGAGGCATAATTTGCTGAAAATTAAGAGACTCATAAGAGGTCAAAAATTGTTCCAAAGTTCATAAAAATTATCCCCAACTCTCACCACGTTGTGATAAATGAAAACGACACAGAATTACCAATTCATAAAAAACTAATGACAGAAAATATTCATTTTTGACAAGTTCCTGTAAAGTGGCATTGTTTAACCAGACTTTCTATGACTTTTCTCCCCAGTCAGGTTGTTAACTTCTTAAAGAATCTCATCACTTACCTCTTCATATGTTCACAGTTCTTATACAGAACTCTCAATGCACATGATCAGTGCTCATACACATCTGTTGAATAAATGTTTATCCCATTTGTAATGCCTTTCCCTATTAATCATAGGCTACATGTGTGACTCAAGTCATAAATATTGCTGTTTTTGTTCTGCTTCATGGTTGTCAGATATGACAGCATTAGCTAATTAATCATCTATAGTTTTTTATATCAAAGGAGCCAAAATTGAGAAATAATTTACTTTTAATACATATCTGCTTTCTTGAAGTCCATGAGACCCAAAAGATTGGTAAATAGATCTATCCAGTAAAATTCAGATATTATATATATATATGTCTACATATTTATTCATTTATATCTGAATGAATAAAACACAGTTGTGAATTTTATTGGCTAGATCTACCTATACATCTGTATATATAAGATTCTTACTGAATAAAAGGTATCTTTAGTACTGGGTCCAACAATAACAGTTAATATTAATATATTAAATATAAGCTTATTATGAGTTATAATTTTTATTAAATTGCCCCCATTTTATTTTATGATATATAATACTTTAAAAAACGTTCTGCAGTTTAATCTTTCCATATTACATAACATAATGTATTGAACCATAGATGTAGGTGTCAAAACATTTTTTGTTTTCTTCTGAAAATCTCTACAGAAAATTATGATAGAAGGTACTGTTACCTTTGAAATTATCCTTGAATATATTATTGTACTTACCTTGGACATGAATAATATTCTATTCAAATCAAACTGAAAGATGAAACCATCTTTCTTTCTTTTTTTCTTTTTCTTTTTTTTTTTTTTTTTTTTACTGTTAACACTTTTACTTCTCTTATTGTGTAAGAGTGACAAATGGTTGGGGTTTTTTTGTTTTTTTCTTGAGCCTCTCTCTAGTGACCTGGGCAGTATGGATGGTTTGCCAGGAAACCACAGTCCCCCGATCTCTGCCAGAACCTCCCATGTGGCCACTGTCCTCAGACAGCTCCTGGAGCTTGTGGATAAGCACTGGAACGGCTCCGGCTCCCTCCTCATTAACAAGAAGTTTCTCGGTGAGTGAGTGCATTCTCAGTTCCTGGAGAAGGGCTCGGACCTTGCTTCTGTTCTGTGTTCGGATAAAAGCCACTCAGCTCTCTTAACTTAGAAGGAAAATTGTTCTTGTGGTCACTTACCAAAATTTCTCAGTAACACAGTAATTGACAAATCTACATTTTTCTCATAATCTTCTGCTTCCCTGTTTGTTTGTTTTTTAATCAGCACTCTTCCTTCATACACCAATTGTTTTGTTCCTCTTGTGATTTTTTTTTGGTAGTTTTTGGGTAATAGGTAGAGTGATATGTAAAAAAGAACGTGGTCATGTTAATGATTACAAAAGGATTTTATGATCCTTGGGAAAGTGCCAATAATAAATACAACAGAAATTGGGTTTGATCATCAGAGTTCTGAGGTGCCTGTTGAAATGTTATGATTTGAAAAATTTGACTGACTAGATGACCTGGAGTCTTTTGGGGGGATTCTTTTTTAGGAACTTGGAGGGAAACGGTTTTGCAAATGTTGCTCTCATGTGTTTATTTGTTGTTTAATGGAAGAAGAATTCAAGGAGCTCTTGGCAATGGTAAAAGTTTAAGTAAAAATAGAGACTTTAAAGTTGTTTGGTCTTAACTTTTTTTTTTTTAATTTCTAAAGGGCCAGACAAGAGAAGAAGTCTTAGCCCAGTTACTTTCCTTCGCACATTGACCCTTTGCTCTCATTTTGTAGGAAGTTATGCCCAGGAGCCAGTCGTCAGTGACTAGAGACTAGCACAGAGCCTGCCCTCACGAGGGTCTGCTTTTGTTTCTCCATAAAGGATGTGGGATATAATTTCTTATCCATCGTGAAACAGCTCTTACAGCCACTCAGTAAATTCCTGTAAAAAGGAGATATTAGATTACCCTATTTGTACTACAGAGCTAGTAGTTATTGACTAGAAATTCTGTACTTTAGCTTTTAAGATTGCCCCGTGTACCCAACCTAAATTTTTGGCAGGTCCTGCCCGAGATTTGCTTCTGACTTTGGTAGTCCCTGCTCCTTCTCAGCAGTGGTGTCACGCACATCCAGAAGACACGTCAAAAGCCTTGCACAGGAGGGAAATGGAACTGAAGGAGGCTGGGCAGGTGGTCCCTAATGACACGGTATGCGTCTCTCATCTTCCTTTCCTATTCTTCCTTTACCAGAAAAGGATGGAGCAGCAAGACTAGAACAGCTCTATGCCATAAAGATCATCATCACTATGAACACCTAGATGTTCCTGAACCAAAATACAGAGAAGTCAGTCGGGGCAAATCTGGAACACAAAACTTGCCAGGACAGGGACAACTTGAAGGTTCTGCAGGGATGACTCCTCAATCCTAGCCCTAAACCAAAACTTCTACAGAAAGACTTCAAATGGAAAAAGAAAAAAAAGAAAAGACCCTAGAGTGAAAACATTTAGAATCATGTTATGAAGGTTATAGTTTGATTCCGATGAGGGAAGATAGACGTCTCTGGGATTGTCTTTCCTCCTTTCTGATGGAGCAGAGAGCCCTGAACCAGGGGCTATTCCTACCATATTAGGCTGCTGGCTCTGGGAGAGGAAGGAGGGGCTCATATCCTTAGGCTTTTTTCCCCCTTTTCTTAACATTTAAAGAATTTTCAGACACTAAGTTCAATTTCTTGAAACTTTAGATAGGTGACTCAGAATGCTGGCCATTTGTCAAAACGTCCACTTGTTCTGCAAGAGTAGTGGGTAATTCACAGGAAAGATTGCAACTCCATGTGATAAACTGGCTGCACTTGAGCTATGTTTACCAATGAATTAAAATTCTAGTGAGAAAATCAGTGAGATGCTGACCTCCATTCAGTTTATCACTAAACAGAGGAAGGATTCTTTCAGTCTTCCAAAAACACTCCTCAGAATTTCATGTTCTTAATACATTTGTATTTGTTTTCTGATCTAAAGGAAAGTTTGAAGCAAAAACTGGTCAGAGTGCTGGAGGAAAACCTTATTTTGTCAGAAAAAGTCCAGCAGTTGGAGGAAGGTGCTGCCACCTCAATTGTGAGTGGGCACCAGTCCCACACTTACGGTAAGTTCAGGAAAGCAACATGTGGTGTGTCCCAAGACAACTGTTTGTTTACACATGACCCATTTAATAAGCTTCATCTTCTAGAGCTCACATGGCTTCCTAAATGGAAACAGTCATCTTGCCTCAGAGAGTATGTAGGTGGCTTGAGTTACCAGATGAAGCTCTTTGTCAGTGTAAAGCAAGTACAAATGTTAGTTATTATTGTCATTATTATTTTTTTTTTAAAGATTTTATTTTTTTCCTTTTTCTCCCCAAAGCCCATTCTTCGTTGTGGGTCCTTCTAGTTGTGGCATGTGGGACGCCGCCTCAGCGTGGTTTGATGAGCAGTGCCATGTCCGCGCCCAGGATTCGAACCAACGAAACACTGGGCTGCCTGCAGCGGAGCGCGCGGACTTAACCACTCGGCCACGGGGCCAGCCCCTTATTGTCATTATTTTTGAGAATGACACTTGATTTTTCTGATTATAGAAGAAGATTGTGTTCTTTATAGAAAGTTTGAAAAGTACGAAGAAAATATTACCCCATGACACAGCAATGACTACCATTAGTATTTTGGTATAGTTTCTTTCACCATAAGCCTAAACATATATTTTTAACTCAAAATTAAAATTCGTGTCTTGAGTTTTTGAAAAAAGTTTATATACAACAAAATGCATACATTTTAAGTTTGATAAGTTTTGACAAAAATATACACTCATTTAATTCCATCCCTAACAAAATACAGAACATTTCTTTACTCCAGAAAGTTCCCTCAGACCCTTGAGCAGTCAGTTTCCCCAACTCTTCACTCTAGGCCAATCTGATTTCTATATCTTAATGTTATTAATTTAATAGTACAGGCATTTCCTATGATATTACATAATTATACCATATTTATCTATCTAGTCCTCTATATAGTCGTTTTTAATGTTAGCTATTATAGATAAAGCTCCTATTATTTATCATATTATAAATAATTCTGCTTTTTTTTTTGAGGAAGATTAGCTCTGAGCTAACTACTGCTAATCCTCCTCTTTTTGCTGAGGAAGATTGGCCCTGAGCTAACATCCATGCCCATCTTCCTCTGCTTTATATGTGGGATGCCTACCACAGCATGGCATGCCAAGCGGTGCCATGTCTGCACCCAGGATCTGAACCAGTGAACCCTGGGTCGCCGAGAACGGAACGTGCAAACTTAACCACTGTGCCACCGGGCCGGCCCCAATAATTCTAAAGAATTTCCAAACATTAAAAAAACCTGAAATGGGGGCTGGCCCCGTGGCCGAGTGGTTAAGTTCGCGCGCTCCGCTGCAGGCGGCCCAGTGTTTCGTTGGTTCGAATCCTGGGCGCGGACATGGCACTGCTCATCGGACCACGCTGAGGCAGCGTCCCACATGCCACAGCTAGAAGAACCCACAACGAAGAATACACAACTATGTACCGGGGGGGCTTTGGGGAGAAAAAGGAAAAAATAAAATCTTAAAAAAAAAAAAAAAAAAAACCTGAAATGGAAAAAAAGACCCTAGAGTGAAAATCCTTCTCTGGGATTGTCTTTCTTCCCTTCTCATGGAGCCGAGAGTCCTAATATTTATACTATGATAAATAATGTGGCTGTTAATATCTATGTACATAAATCTTTGTGTACATTTCAGACTATTTTCCTAGGAGACATTCCTAGAAGTAGAATTAGTGGGTCAAAAGATGTGGTCTTTTTTTTTTTTTTTTTTTTGAGGAAGATTATATCCCTGAGCTAACTACTACCAGTCTTCTTCTTTTTACTGAGGAAGCCTGGCCCTGAGCTAACACCCATGCCCATCTTCCTCTACTTTATATGTGGGATGCCTACCACAGTATGGCGTGCCAAGCAGTGCTGTGTCCACACCCAGGATCCAAACTGGTGAACCCCAGGCCGCTAAGAAGCAGAACGTGTGAACTTAACCTCTGCGCTACCGGGCCAGCCCCAGATGTGGTCATTTTTGAGTCTTTTGTTACACATTGCCAAATCACTCCTAAGAAAGGTTGTTTCAGTTTACACTCACATCATCAATGAGTATATTTGAATGCCCTTTTCACTCCACCCTTGTCCACACTTGGTATTTTTTTACTTTTTGCCATTGTGATAAGTGAAAAATAATATCCCATTGAAGTCTTGATTCATACTGCTTTATTATTGGCATAATTTAGGATAGTATTTTAGATAAAGTCTACCCTTGACTTTAAACCTCTAGCTTACCACCCCTAAGCAAACGTTATGGATGTTTGGATTTATACGAGAAGGTTGATTTGAAGTCAACACTGAATTTCCAGAGTTGAATCTCATCACTATCTGATTCTTACAACAGATAATGCCTGAATAATCAAGGCATCTCTGCTTACCTATTCTGAAAATAAGTAGGTGTTTGTTCATTAGATACCTACTTTCAATCAACTTACCAGTGATAAATACCGCTGTTGCAGCCCTATTTTCCACCTTCTAGAACCTTGCTACTCAAAGTGTGATGCACAGATCAGCAACATTAGCGTCACCTGGGAGCTTGTTAGACATGTACAATATTGGGCCTCACCTCAGACCTACTGAATCTGAATCCTTTTTTTAACAAGATCTCCAGATGATTCGTAAGCATACTAAAGTTGAAGAAGTCCTGTTCTAGAAGACTTACTTCCTTAGCACCAAAGTTTCTGTGTCTTTACCTGCCTCGTTATTGCAGGCAGTGGTAACGTATTTGGGGAAGTAGGTATGAGTATCTTGGCTACAAATTCAGTTTCTGCAAGCACTCATTGAGCTATTACTATGTGCCAGACACAGTTGCAGATGTTTTCAGTACTTCATAGAGAGTGAAGGACATACATTCACAAACTAAAATGGAGATACGAAGAGACCTAACCTTTGTTGACTGCCCGTGCTAAGTGAGGACGGGTGTCTTAATGAATCCTTCTAACAGTGCTATGGGGCAGGGTTATTAGGTCTAGTGAAACAGAAAAATGAGCTAATGTGCAAATATTAAGTGGTTGAATTTTAATTCAGATCTCCCTGTTGCTAAACCCCGTATTCTTGCCACCATATCTGCTATCTCTAAGGGAGGGAATGGTGATTGGAGTGTGGTGGTGGGCGCACTGGGGCCCCCAATTCTTCAAGATGTCTGCCTGACTACCTAAGCTGCTCAAACACCAGCCAGTGGGAATCCTGCACAACTCTGACTACTCTACCTTTTTTAGATGATCTTCTACGCAAAAACCAACAGCTGAACATGCAGGTGACTTGCCTGCACCAGGAGCTTGCCCAGCTGAAAAAGCTGGAGGAGACAGTGGCCCTTCTCCATGAAAGTCAGAGGTAGGAGTGGGTCTATCCAGCTGGCTTCTGGAAGCAGATGTTTACTTTCCTTTATCACCTTTGTTTTAGTTGGCAAGTTAATATCTATATACTTTTCTTTTCTTTTGCGGGGAAGATTGGCCCTGAACTAACATCTGTTGCTAATCTTTTTCGTTTTGCTTGAGGAAGATGGTCGCTGAGCTAGCATCTATGCCAGTCTTCCTCTACTTTGTATATGGGACGCCAAGACAGTATGGCTTGATGAGCAGTGTGTAAGTCCGCACCCAGGATCTGAACCTGCAAACCCTGGGCCACCAAAACGGAGCATGCGAACTTAACCACTATGCCACCAGGCTGGCCCCTATATACTTTTCAAATTAATTCCATTCTGTGTGTAAACCTCCCATATCTAGGACAGTTAGCTCAGGGATCAAAGTACTGCTTTCCAGGACAAATGGGACTAGATGTCTTTGCTGGCATTCGTGGGTTGCAATACCTCAATAATAAGTAGTTTCTCACTGAGTCCAACAGGACGCTTGTTTGAGTCAGCTAGCTTTCCCTGGTCACTATGTGCCCCTAAAATCAGCCATGTGGCTTTTCTGGAAAATGCCTGCCTGCTACTGGTCACAGAAGAGACGTTGAGCACTTAGAGTGATAAGGAAAGAATTCAATGTTCGTGTCCCCTTCAGAGGAGCCCAATAGCATCCGCCTCTTCAAAGAATAGTACCCTCAGGATGCAGGCTAGACAATTCAGAAGGGGCCTCGAGACTATTGGTTCATTTAGAGAAGCCCTTGACACTGATTTGTCAAACACCTTTGCTAGGTCTTGCAGTGAAGTTTAAATACAAGAACCCCATCCCCAAACCTTCAGCCCCCAACTTCACTTCCTGATTTTCCTTATAATAGCTTCATATTCAGCGGATTAGACTCAGACCCATTCTGGATGGCTTTTTCTAAATTTTTCATTTTAATTATTTCAAACCTATACAAAAGTAGAGCAAGTAGCATAAAGTCAGGGTTCTCGAACTCGGGTGTGCATCAGAATCACCTGAAAAACTTGTTGAAATGCAGATTGCTGGGCCCCACCCCGAGAGTTTCTGATTCAGCGGATCTGGGTTGGGAACTGAGAATCTGCATTTCTAGTAAGTTTCCAGATGCTGCTGTTGCTGCTAGTCCGGGAACCACGCTTTGAGAACATTAGGGTATATCTCTTTAGAGACGTACAGTCAAATCACTATATTTTAAAGTAACTTGAAATAATTCTCTTGTGTGTTGTTAAACCATCAATTCAGGTTCAATTTGTTTCATTTTGCTTTTGATACATAGGGAAATTTTTTATTATATTTATTTAATCTTGTTTTATAATTATGTAAAACATTTACATGGTCTCAAAGTCAAATCTACAAAATAAGATAAATTCAGACAAATCTAGCTTCCTTACCTGTCTCCTATATCCTTTCCTTCCCTCCCACTAGCCTTCCACTGTAGGTGTGGGTGTGTATTTGTATTCTCCTTCTATTATATAAAAAGAGGCATAATGTTGCTTTAACATTGTATCTTAGAAATCAGTTCACAGTGGTGTATGGAGTTAGTTCTCATTCCTTTTTATAACTGTGTAGGACTCCACTGTGTGTTTGTTTAGCTAGTCCTCTATTGAGGAACATTTACGTTGACTGTATTTTGCCATTACAGAGAGAGTTGCAGTGAATAGCATTGTGCATGCATCATTTTTTTTTTCTTGGCCAGTCTCTGATGGCTTTCAACGTTACATGGTAATACAGAGTCCAAGAACACAGTCCTAACTAGCACCACTAGTTAACTGCAGAGGCAGGATAGTTTAGAAGAAGTAGAAGTTAAGATTTGGGGATAAAAATTGAAGGCCTGGTCAGGTGTCAATCTCCCAGTGCTTCTACTCACCTCCTCATGAAAGTGCTTTGGAAAGAACAGAACAATCACCATACGAAATGTGAACTATGTTATTGCTACATTCAGTCTGGAACATAATCAAACAGAACTGTAATGAAGAAAGAAACTGTCTGCCTGCTTTTAAAATAACCCACTCATAAATCGGACAGTTCGTTCTATTTAAAGATGTTACTTCACTTTACATTTGTCTTTAGCAAACATTTCAGGTCTTAATGGCATCTACTTTGCTTTTATGATTCATGACTGCCTTTTCCCCCTCTGCCTTAGATCCCTGGTGGTAACTAATGAGTATCTGCTGCAGCAGCTGAATAAAGAGCAAAAAGGTTATTCTGGGAAAGCACTCCTGCCTCCTGAGAAGAGTCATCACTTGGGAAGATCGTCACCCTTTGGGAAAAGCACGCTGTCTTCCTCCTCACCAGTGGCACATGACACGGGTCAGTATCTAATACAGAGCGTCTCAGATTCTGTCCCAGAGCCTAGTTTATGGAGCTAGTACTGAACACCTTCTCTATAGCTTCCCTCTTGGCCCCAGGGGCCTCTCAGTGTCATTTCCACCAATATGGTGGTATTTACTCACAAGATTAAGAAAAAAAATCTTATTCTGATTACAGTGTATTGGTCCTTCTTTTTATTTCTATCTCCTCCCATCAAGTCATTCTTTTCTTCTGCCCACAGATATAGTTGGCACTTAGTCCTAGGCATCATGTCACATAGAAACATTTGGCTGAAAATGTCAAAAAGGAAAAAACACTAGACATTTTTCCCAAGTATCACTTGAAATTCTGTGGTAGGAGGTTTAAAAAGAACATCCATGGCTGGGTGTGTTTTGTGTTAGAATTTCAGTGAATCCATATAGATTGGTTCATCAAACATGTTTTGAGTTTCTTCCCACCATAGTGAAAAGGTGACAAGGTCTGATGTCTGCCCTGGAGCAGCCAACAATTTAGTCAGGGAGAAAAGCACAAACTTGTGTGATGGAGCTCAAACTTGGCATTGGTACTAAACATATCTAAATAAAAGCCTAAAGATACCCTGGAAAGAGAGAGAAAGCAGTTGATTCCTACTCTGGGGAATTGGAGAAGGCATCAGTGAGGACTCATTTGAGTGGAAATATGTAGAATGAGTACAATGGTAGCAGGTAGAGGGGATGCAGAGCCTCCTAGGCCAAGAGTGCAGAATAGAAGAGTCTGGAGCCCCCGAAGGATCACAGGGCAGGGAAGATGTGAGTGATGGTGCCGTGACAGTAGATAATCCTAGCTTGGAAGGTGTGGTGCAGAAAAATGCCCCCTAAAGAAATGATCTTTCAGGGCCAGCCCTGTGGCCAAGTAGTTAAGTTCGTGCTCTCTGCTTCGGTGGCCTGGGGTTTCGCTGGTTCGGATCCTGGGCACACACATGGCACCGCTCATCAAGCCATGCTGAGGTGCCATCCCACATGCCACAACTAGAAGGACCCACAACTAAAAATATACAACTATGTACCAGGGGCTTTGGGGAGAAAAAGGAAAAAATAAAATCTTAAAAAAAAAAAAGAAATGATCTTTCAACTGAGACCTGAAGAATGAATAGGAGGTAACTAGGCAAAGGATACAGCCAAGGACAGAGGCAATGGGGAGAGCTGCAGAGAGAAACAGCATGTGCAAAGGCCATGAAATGGGAGGGAACATGGTCAGTTCAGGGAACTGAGGGGCTGAGAGGAGATAAGCAGGAGCTAGATTGCACAGCTCCTTGAAGATTTTAGATTGGGAAGGCAGAGGAGTGGAACATTTGTGTTTGAGAAGCTTTCTCTGTAAGAAGAATGGATTGACAGCCTTGTAGAGTGGGGACAACCAGAGAGGAGCTGAAGAGATGAGAGAGAAGGCTGGTGCAGGCCAGACCAGAGATGCAGCTTCTGAATGTTAGCTTTGGGCTCAGCATCCACTTTACACATAAGTACCCTGTATTTCAGACATGAAGCACAATCTTTCTTTAATCCTGATTGATTGGGCATTTAAAAATCAATGGGAAAAGATAATGAAAGTGGCTTTAGGTATGTCTCTGCTTCAGAGTCCCCCAGGTAGCTAATGTTACCAGAGAGTGTGTAGAGGGGAAAGGACTGACGACTTAATGCTATGTTGTACTTCTCTTTATCTTCAGGGTCATGTCAGAGAGAGAGGCAGGCAGAAAGATTAGACACTTCTTTGCTCCCCTGACCCAGGTGCTGTGCAGGGAAGGAGAGCTATTGCCGTAATAATGAGACATGAAGATCACAACCAAGATCACACATTTCCAAGCTATAAATAAAATCCACAGACTTCTGGATTTTACGTGGGTTCCCAAAAGGAGGATGTACAGAGGAGCCATAAGTTTCTTTGAGCTGCATGGCTCTGAGGGAGCTAGAGTGAGCTCTTGCTCTGTGGAAATGTTGGTAAAAACAGTCCCCCCACCCCTACTTTCCTGGGCCTGTCTTGGCCCCATGGAGCCTTTAAGGCTCAGTGAGCCTAGGCCTCCAAAGAGCCTAAGCCTTGCACAGGAAGGGTAGCCTCAGCCAGTAGCCTTGCAGCCCTGAGTTGTCATATTTCAGAGTCCCAGCCCAGTGCACAGGCCAACTTATTGAATAGACCATTGGGGGAGAAATAATGCACTTCTTTCTACAACTCCAGCCCTCCCCTCCTTCCCCTATGAACATCTGATAATGCTGGTCCCTGAACCTATTCAGGGTACCTCTAAGGAGAAGCAAAGTGCCTGACCCAGACTGAGTCACCTTCTACCTGATTTTCTATTGTCACTGTCCCAGGCAAGGCACCTCTCTAGGGGTTGCTGGCCACTCCTGGGGAAGTCGACTCTGTGATTTTCCCTGTGTGGCCCTTGGTCCAGAGGGCAGGGGTAGGGATTGGTGACGTTAGGGAAGGGCCAAAGAGTTGTTGCCCTATGCAGCTAAGTGGGCTCAACACGGAGGTAGAAGGCCCCTGAAGCAAGTGGAAAACAAGTGGAGAGGAATTCCTTACCTGAGGCCTGACACTCCCACTTCCTGAGAGAAGGAAAGAAGCAGGGCTGGGATGGAGACTGGGCCCTCAGGGAAGTTCTGTGCCCAAAAGGAGGGCGGGGCCACTCTGACAGGTTTGGCCTTCCTGCCAGCTATACAGAGAGGGTTTAATGACTCTATCCCTCCTAACCTCTTTTCCTTGCCCACCTGGTTTTCTACCATGAGGAGGCTACGGAGGGTAGAGCAGTGATAACTGAAGGCCTAAACTGGCATTGTTTGGTCAGCTGCTGCCATGTACCACATTCTGCTAGACCCATCAGTCTTTAAGGGTCTTCCTGGCTCTGCACAGGCCTTGATTTCCCTCAGGCTCCATAACCACTTTCAGGAAGAAGAGGGGGCTTTATCTTATGAGGTGGAGTTTTGGGGCTCACCCAGTTCTCTCTCCGGGTTCCTCTAAGACATGTGGCTAGTCACAGGGGGCTGAGCCACTGCTCCCCTACACATTGGATGGTACTCTCACTTGCAGCTTAATGGCTTAATATCCTGGACCAATTTGCAATACATTTAAATTTTTTTCACTCTGAGGATATTTTAAGTAAGTGAAAGCCAGAAGGATTTGAGTTTCACTCCTATTATGCTCATTTAAGTAAGCTTGCAATTTAAACAAATTCCTCAAGGTTGGAGGAATCGTTCCTCTTACTGATTGCTGGTAGGAGAGGTAGAGCTCTCTGAAATTCTTCCCTGGGCAGTGCAAGGTGATATAGTCAGCAGAGTCAGGAGGAGCCCACAGCTGTCAGCTGTTAGGCAAGGCTCTGCTGTGGCCAATGCTGATCTCTACCCTCTTATTCCCACCTCACCTCCTCAGCATCCCTGTCCCGAGCCACACTATTCCTCTATACCTCCACTCCAAGTGAATTTGGGCTTAAAGGACTCTGGGGCCACCTGGGGCAGGAACATTCCAGAAGAGCCTGTGGGATGAGGAAATAAACAGTTGTGCTGCCTTACCTTGTTATCTGGGGGCAGGAAAGAAGATATTTATAAGCATGTGCCTTTTAAGCCTTTTCTAGCACCCGTGGTAGCTGCCCTCTCCTAAGCAGGCCTTAAATCCCATCCAGCCTGCTTGTCAGTAGGAAAGGAGGAGAGTTGGTCCCAAAGCCTTGGGCTTGGGAATAGCTCTAGCCTAATACCCAGAGCCTCAGAGAGGAGAAAAGGTTGATCCAGAAACTCCCAGGAGTTCCCAGGACCAGAGAAGCCCATACCTTCCTCCCAACCCATGATATTGAACAGATGGAAGGGAATCAGCAAGAAGAGGCCCCTTCACTGTTGGACGCCCTGTTCACCTGCCAAAGGCTAGTGTTGGGTGCCAGGCTCTATCACTGGCCATCCAGCCCCAGTTTTGGAAATCGTGTTGGGGCTTGCTGTGTTAGAAAGAGCCTGGCCTGGGAGGCAAGAGGCATGGTTCTGGCCTCTATTCTGAAGAAACCCCTTCACTCTTTGGGCCTCAGTTTCCTCAGCTATAAAATGAGGGAGTTGTACTATGTATTCTCTGAGGTTCTTCCTGGTCCTGCGTTTTCTGATATTCTGAGCTGGAGCCTCAGATGACTCGCCTTGGTAGCCCCCTGGAGCTGGGGCCTGTCAGTAGTCTTAGAGCCGAGGCCTGGCACTGGGTCCCTGCCAATGCTTGGCCCAAGCCAAGTCTGCTGTCTTATCCCTCCTCCTGCTGTAAAAGTGGAGAGGCCAAGACTGACATCCGAACTGCAGGAAGGCAAGCTGTGCTGTTAGGACTCTGGGTCAGGGCTGAGGTAACAGGCTTTGGATTTCCCTCAGGAGCATCTTCAGGCATCCTGGCTCTGTGTTGATGGAAGGGGCCTGATGTGTGTCTTTTTCTGGGCAAGGCTTCCAGTGGAAGGATCAGCAGAGTGTGACACGCAGGGGGGTGACGACTCTGAGGGGTCAGTGGGGTGTGAATGTCATTACCCCTGTCATCATATACATGACCAGGCTATACTGGTAAAAAAAGCTATCTTTATTGAGGTCTAGGTAAGAATTAGGCACTTGGCCAGAGCAGCAGCTTAAATATGAGGCAAGCAGGCAGGGGTTAGCCACGCCCAGGGCTAGGTTCAGGCGGTGAGGCTATAGGCACAGACTCTCCCCAGACGGACAAAAGGACAGAAGTCAGGGAGGAAAGAGGAAGGGGAAGGGGATGCAGAGCAGTCTGGGTCAGAGGCCTGGTGGGCTGGCCCTGTGGGGCTGTGCAGGAAGCGCTGGGTGGCAGGTCCAGCAGGAAGGGGACCGGGCTCTCTTGCTCCACATGTCCCTTAGGCCCAGGCCTGAGCCTCTGGCGGGGGCAGCCGCGCTGGGGGGCCTTCCCAGGCCTCACTTCTTCACCTTGGCATCATAGGTGCCTGCATTCTTGTAGGCACTCACATAGCCACTGTCATCCAGGATGTCCTGCCGCCCAGCAATGCCCTTGCCCTTGCCGCTCTCATCAAAGCGCTCCTTGTGGGAGCCTGTGTACTTGCTGGTGTCGGTCAGCCGTTCCACAGCACCCCCTGTTTTTGCTTTCTGTTTGGACAGAGTTCCCCCAGGGGCACCGGGTTAGAGAGCCCAGCCCTTCCACCCCCGACCAAAATTCCCCACGTTCCCCTCAGTAGCCTCCCAAGACCAGCAAGGCACTTACAGTGACGCCCACATTGGCTGGTTCCTTGCCTGCCACCAGCTGGCAGATGGCATCGAAAGCCTCCTCCTTGCTCTTCCCCTTGAATCGCTTGGTTGCCAGCTCTTCTAGGGCCTTCTTGAACTCCTCATAGTTAATGACCCGAGCCGACTTCCCCCTGCCAGATATGTGAGCACCATGAGTTTTCTCCCTTCTCCATATCCCCCTGGTTCCAGCCCCCCAATTCCCCACCTTCTGGGAACATGAGAAGCAGAGACTGCCTGGGGCTCACTTGACTTTGGAGAAGACGATGTCGACATCAGTCCCTGTCACGGCCTTTCCATCAGCCACCTTGCAGTCCTTGCACAGCTTGGCCCAGTTCTTGCCATTCATCTCTTGCCCACTGGCCTTGGGGTCACCGTGGATGGCAAACTTGCGGAAGCTTTCCTCCAGTCCAGCCACATCTGTGCTCGCTGCCATGCCACCCTGTAGGGACCCACCTCGGTCATCTCTCAGTCAAGCTGCCCCTCCCATCCCCAAGGCACCAGACATCACTGCCTCTACCTCAAAACCTGCAAGGTCTGAGTTGTGGGCACTTCTGCCACATATCCTCAGAGTTGGAGACGGAGCCTGGGGAGAGGAGCCAACACTCAGTGTCTCCCTGGGTGCCAGAAGCCTGGGGAAGAGCCCCAAGAGGAAAGGTCCTGTCACTTCATGCCAGCCTTGGCTCTGAGTGGAGTTCAGAAGATGAAATCATGATGCCCACACCAGGCTGGGAACAGAGTGGCACTGTCCAGAAAGACTGTGAGGGCAGCAGCTGGGGCCATGGCTTTGTCTGACCCTGGCACAAGGCCTGCTTGGGTGGAAGTGAGGGTGGCAGAGTAGGTCAGGGTCATGAGGACCCAGCCAGATCCAGCCTAGGCTGAGAAGGAAGCCAGAGCACAGGCAGGGGTGTATGCCCTAGGCAGGGGTGCAGCTGGCCCAGCAGGGACCTTGTTACTATTTTCTGTTAAACAAAAACATGAGGGGAGCGGGAACTTGAGGCTGGCCTCGCCACAGTTTGTGAAGCTTGGAGACAGTTGCTAAGGGAGGGTGGTGCTGCTTGGAGATGTTGCTAAGGGCAGGATGGTGTCAGGGCGGCTCAGGGAGAAGCTCCCAGTGTTGCTTGGCTGGGCTGGGCTGGGGAACAGGGGCCCAGGGGTGGGGCACACCAGCACTCCCAGTGCCTAGGGCACAACCATGGCTTTCTGGCCCCTTGCCAACCATTGGGGCTGTAACCTCCCAGTCTATGAAGTTTAGGAGGAACAGGAGATTAGGGGGCTAGCCTGGGTGGGGGTTGTAGAATTATGAGCCCCCAGAGGCATGTTGGTGAGGGCAGTGCTCAGGGACTGTGACCTTGCTCTGTAATCCTCACACCTACGCCCTGCACTGAAGCACACTTCCCCAGTGTCTGCACCTTCAGCCCTCCATGGAGGACCCCGGCCACACCCTGAGCACTGCCATGCCAGTCCACACTCCCACAGCTGTATGCGCTCAGCCCTGGCCCTCCACACCCTTATTCCTCCTGACCACACCCTTAACCTGGTACTCAGACCTCCCTGACCACACCCACAGCCCTGCAGTGAAGTGCCCCCCCACCCACAGCCCCCACTGCAATCCTCTGACCACACCTGCAGCTCTGGGACTGAGGGCCAAGACCATTCCCTCAGCATGCACCCCACACTCATATACTAACAGCCCTGTACTGAGGCCCCCCAATAATTCCGTCAGCTCTGCACTATAGGATACCCCCCACACCCCAAAGCCCCCACTGCAGTCCCCTGACCACACTCGAAGCCCTGCACTGAAACTCCCTCCATGTAATACAGCCTTGTACTGAGGCCTCCCTGACCACACCCTCAGGGCTGCACTGCAGCCACTTCTATCCACACACTCACAGCCCCGACCAGAGCCTCACAACTCTCCCCCTCTCCACACACCTGCAGCCCCTGACCACAGCCCCACACACCCCCTGTGTCCACACACCCACAGCCTTCTGGCTATACTCTCAGCCCTGCACTGAAGCCCCCAAGTGTCCACACACACAGACTTGCATTTCCAGACTCCCAGGTACCATGCTGAGCACACCCACCTCCTCCATTGCAGCCTCCTGACCACACCCTCAGTCATGTCCTCAGAATCATCTTCTATCTCCGCCTTATATGCTAGCGCCTCCAGTGACCACAGCCTAAGCCCCTGCCCGACTACCCCCCTTCCACTACTGCTGGCCTTAACACTGAAAACTCTCCCCCAGTGACCACACTCACCCATCCCTAAGTTGCAGTTTCTGAGACTGGGAGCACCCACAGCTCCTACACTGTAGCGACTCTGTGGGCCCACAATCCCAGACCACCTTGTACTCTGCTTCCCCTTCCCTACACTGCAACCTCCCACCAGGGACCAGGAGACCCAGCCCTTGGTTCATCAAGGGTAAAGTCCAGGTGTACTTGCATGCCACAGGATGCATGTCCCAGGGGACTGGCAGGATCCTGCATCCAGTGCTCACTCCTGTCTGTGGGAAGATGGATTTTTGATAATCTGGGGGCTGATCAAGTGGCACCAGGTCGCAGGCCATGGATGGAGCGGCCAGGCCCGTGAACTGGGGCCACCCGCTCGCTCCCGCTGGGACAGCTGGAGTCATCAATCAGCCGGACAAGGAGGTGGGGGTGAGGGTGGAACGCTTGGGCCCAGGGCAGGGCCGCTCAGCTGGCGTCCTCAGCTCGGTACCATCCGAGGTTGGGACCCCTTCCAGGCTGCTCCCACCCCACCCGCTTCCTTATTGTGCAGGATACTGATTAGGGTGGTCGGCGCCGGGGTCTCCTACCGGCTTCTACTTCGTGGCTGCTCCTGCAATGCGCGTTCGACGGACAGGACGAAAAGAATGGACCGACGGACGCTGGAGACCAGGCGGCTCCGCAGCTCTGCTCCCTGCCGGCTCTGGGGCGGGACTGCAGCCCGGGCGGTTCCACCGTATTATCCCCTGTTTCTCGGTCTCCATAGAGACGGCCAGTCCCACCCCCGGGGCTGTCTCGGCGGGAGAGTGACCAAGGTCACGCTGGCTCCACCCACCGGACCCCACCCTCTCCACGCTCCGCGGGGGCGGAGCTGCTGTGATAAACTCATCGCGCTGCTCTCAGGGCTGCTCTGCGGCCTTCGCGGCTGAGACCAGCTCTCTGCAGTTCTGGACGTCCTTGGATGGACCCCCTAACGAGAAAAGAGCCCCCTATCCTAGGCACCGCCCAAAGTCCAAAGCAGACCCCCACCTCCAGGGGATCCAGCTTCCCAGAGCCGCAACCGAAGGCTTTTGGGGAGCTGGCGGGGAGGGGGGGCGGGGACAGAGAGGAGCAGGAAAATCCCTTCCCTCAGTGACAGTAGGGTCTAGAGCTGGCTCAAGATCACAGGTCTCCAATGAACGTGTGGCATCCCCAGGTCACAACTCTGGAGCACTGGGGGAGAGAAGGTACAATGAGCAAATCACGAGTGCCTAACCCCAGAAGCCTGGTACACCCACGGCGATCCTGCCGCCAGGGAAAAGCTCCTGGACCTCCCGGGTCTGCGTCCTCCTCTATTCCCACTCCATCCCGGTGTTGCCCTCGCAGTCTGTGCTCTCGCTGCTGCCTCCCGGGAGCCCAAAGTGTGTTTCCCCTTATGTCTCCAAGCTCAAACTCTGTCTTCAAGTGCTCCTCCAGGCAGCCTTCCAGGACCTTTCCTAACCAGGAGCCCCGTACCTGAGCACCTCGGGTCCTCGTGTACCTCCATATGACAATCTGCGTGGCCACCCACTGTTCAGAGGCCTACACTAGCCTCTGCCGTTAGGCCGACTGGTAACGGTCCGGTTCCAGGAGGGCCCGTGACCCTTTCTATTAAGAAAGTATGCACTACGTCCGCAAAAGCATAAAAAAGTTTATTGGAGCATCATGGCCGGTGGGGCGGGTATTGCTGAGTCGTGGGGGAGGGGGCCGATCCCGCCGGCCGTAGAGGCCCCTAAAGTGCACTCGGTGAGGCGAGGGTGGGGGCGTTGCATAGAGAGTCGGGCCGGCCGCTCCTCCTCGGTTCTCCTGCCTCTCGATCCAGCTAAGCCAGGCCAGCCTCTGGGCTGCCCCGCGCCCCGGGCTTGCCGCTGCTGGGGCTCACGAAAACGGCGGGCGCACGCGCCTGCAGCGCCGGCCCGGGCTCTCGGCCTCTGCACCCGGGGGCGGCCAGAGCAGCACTGCCCAGGCGCGTCTGCGCCACTGGAATCTCGTCCATGGACTCGGCTGACGCCGAGTGGTAAGCGCCTGCAGGACCAGCGGCGTGCACTGGGCTGGCGCCCGCAGAATCCGACGATAAGCTGGAGCGGCGGCCTAGGGCCTGGGGCCCTGCGGGGGTGGAGGAGAACGTGAAAGTAGAGGCTGCGACTTGCTTGGGGCCCTACCTTGGAGCTCACCGAGCAGGATCTGGTCAGGAAGGGGCGCTCACCCGGCAGCCTCGGCAGCGGGGGCTCCCGGTCCAAGGTCCCAGAGGTCGGCACCTTATACGCGCGCCGCTTCCTCTTTTTCTGCAGAGACAGTGGGGAGCCTGAGTGACATCGCCAAAAGAAGCAGAGGAGTGGGGCGGGATAGAGGCTTCTTTCCCTTCCCCTTCCACCTGGACTAGGGGCTGAGCGCCGTCCCCCTACCTGGGGTCGGATCCGGGGTGGTAGAGCGAGAGTCTCTGGGGAGGAGGGTGGTGGAGGGTCCACTTGGCCGAGGGTGGCAAGGAACCGGGAGGGACTGAGGGAGAAGCTGAGGGTAAGCTCTGAATACTGTTGTTCCCTCAAATCCCACCCCCCCCCCCAAACCCGCCCCTTTGGAGGTCCTGAAATAAGCCTGCATCCCTCGCAGACAATAGAAAGGGGCATTGATCTGTCCAAGGCCACACTGGGCTGGACCCAGACCTGTGCCTTGGCCTTGGCCTACCCCTCTCTCCCACCTTTGATGGCCCTACCATGCCAATGGGAGATGTCCAGGTGGCACACGCCCAAGCCACACTCACTTGGCACTCACTGCGACGGGCCTAGCCTGGCCAGGGGGCTCTGGGCGCACATGGCTGAAGGTTCGCATGTAGAACTCCATCTCCTGGGGAAGGTGGGGGTCAGGGAGGCTGGGAGGCCAGGTGTGGATCCAGGGCCTTCTGGGTCCTGAGCCTACCCTGTCCTGGACACAATACCCCCTCCCAGCCTCTGTGAGAGGTCTAGGCACAGAGGTCTAGGGCTGTCCTCCTCCAGGCTTCCCGGCTATGCTGGGAAAACCCCCTCTGCAGGACAAGGATTAAAACACCCATTTCTGGACCTTATCCCATCCTCACCTCCTCCTGACTTCATCTAGTCAAACTCAGCCTCCTCTGGGAAGCCCCCAGCCTCATGGGTCCAATGCACACAGTCTACAGCTGCTCTGGCCAAGGGGTGTGGGGGTGAGGAAGAGGTTCGAAGAACTGCCCTCTCCTGCTTCTGGCTCTTCTCAGGGCTCTAGTCTCCGAGCCAATTTTTTCCCTGGCTGGGAGACCAGGCAGCTGTTCATATGCTGGGGTGTGCACCCAAGGCTGTGTGCACAGCTCCGCAGCTCCCGCAGAGCTGAGTCCTCACAGCAACAGCCACAATCTCGACTGCTGGGGGAGTGGTGTGGGCCCAGCCAACCCCACACCTTCCCGGAAAGGGCAGGCAGTACATGGTGGGAAAAACAGCACCACAGCCCCATCTGGGACCAGGCTTATGGGCAGAGTTCTGTGTCTTGTTTAGTCCCTGATCCTCACAGCCACCCTGGGAGTGACAGATCCAAACCCTGAAAGTGAAGGGGCATAAGGTCAGGAGTTCACAAGGTGGCACTCTAGCGCACACAACTCGCCCTAGCTACAGTCCACCAAGACTGCAGGTGAGGAAACAAAAACCAGGAAAAAGCCAGCCCTGGAAGGGAGTAGGACTGAGGGTGAGGGGCGGAGCCTGAACGACGAGGCCCCGCCCCCACTGGGCAGTGGGAGGGCACCCAGACAGCTGTCGCCTGCTCCCCAGCCGTTTCCATGGAGACCCAGGCGTCCTGACTAATGCAGAGATGACACTGTAACAGCAACACCGTCTCTAAAACAAGCCTATGTTTGGGGGCAACGGCTCCAGAACAGGGCCCCTCCCGCATTCCTGCTCAGCGTGGGGGTGGGGAGGCTGCCTGTGGGGCCCTGGCAGATCTGAGGGACAGAGCCCAGCTGGCCACGGGCTGGCTACACAGATGCAGTGATTGAAGCTGGGGGTAAGCCCCACGCCCAACTTATGCCCAGGCTGGCCCTTTGGGGAGGAGTGTGGGGGTGCCAGCCAGAGGGCCCTGGGAAAGAGGAAAGGGTCAGAGGCCAGTTACAAGGACTGGGACCTCAAGATAATCCTCCGCCAACATCTTTCCTCTTCCCCAATGTGGACTCAGCACCCCTCCAGGGCCCAGCAGAGAGGGGCAAAGTGTACCCTAGTGCCCCTAAGCTCTAGAAGGGTAAGATGGGTGGGAGGGTGGCAGCAGAAGAGGATGGTCCCAGAAGCCTGAGGGGCCAGGATAGGATAAAAGCCAGTCCTAGCCAGCAGGGGAAGTCTGAGGGTATCATTAGGGTGTCCTCACTCAACCCCCCCTTCCCTCATCACTGCTGTCCCTAGGATCCTCCCAGAGACCTTCAAAATTTACACATTCCTGAATGGTACTTGGCAGCCCTCAGCCTCAGCTCTCTCCTCCATACAATGGGACAAGCACAGCCCTCTACCCCCTGGGGAGGCCTCTCTGAGGTCATTTGCAGATATTAAATGCCCTTGCTGCTGGCACATCTGGCCCCAAATCCTAGGCAGGCAGTGACTACAGAGCAGGGGTCCAGAGCCCTCAAGTCTGGGCATCCCAGGGCCAGCCCTGCCTCAATGGGCACTGGCTGTGAAATTTGAGAAATTCTCCTGCCTACCTCTCCGAGCCTCAGTCTCCTCTCTGAAGTGGGTATGGGGATGATACCCACTCCCAGGATGGCTGCCACTGTGCTTACATGGGTTCAGGGCAGGTACACAGTTGTATGGCGGGAGGTCTCCGCCAAGAACCAGCACCCTCCTAGGCCTGCCCAGGCCTGACAGCCTGGCCCACCCCTGGCAATGAGAACAGGAGAGGCAGGGTCCCAAGCCCTCCCCTAATCCACCCACCAGCCTGTTTGTGTCCAATTGACATAAGGCCTTGGGATCCGGAGCTCAGATTTTCCAGCAAGGCCTGCCTGGGCCCTCTGCCTTCCCAGTCCCTGGGGGCTCCAAGGACTAGACCACCCCCACCCCTAGCTGCTGACCTCAGGAAGCCACAGGGCGTGGGAATGGGGATAGGCTGGTCAGCAGCTGGCCTGGCCAGGCTCGAGCCTGCACTGGAGGGTTCCTGCCTCAGAGTGTAGAGATCTTAATTCTTCCCAGATCCAGCTTGTTTACCCTTTCTTGGCCCAATATGCTCATCTGCAACATGGGTAAGGTAACATTACCTGCCTCATGGGCTGTTTTAAGCATTAAATAGGGTGGTGGGCATAAGGGCTCAGTGTCCCGGGTGGAAAAAACTGATGGCTCCATCCTAGTGACCCAGTCACTGGTCCATCCCTCTCTCTTCTGTAGCCCCAACCTGCCCATTTCCAGGCTCCCACATTCCACACCCTCCAGCACATGCTTGGACCCTGGAAGAGCACATACATGGGGTCAGGGAAATGCAGGGCTCTCTCTGGCTTGTGGCTGTACTTGAGCAAGCCGGCATGTGCTGAGGCCTGGCCTCGCTCCTGCTGCCCTCAGTACCCCCTACCCCAGCTGCTGTTCCAGGCCCACTTCCCTTAGCTCTGTCTCATCATGAGTTGCTCGCTACACAGCCCACCACCCCTCCCCACCCAGGCCCCATCTCCCATCCCATCAGCCCTTTGGGCCACTTCTATACCTGAATGGGCCGCATCTTGGGGGGACATGACTTGAGCTCCCTGTGGGCCCCTTTTGCCTCCTGTGGCGGGCGATGTTGCACGATGTACTCATAGGTGGTGAGCTTGTGCCATACTGAGGGAGTGAGGAGAGGGTTCAGTGCAGTGGAAAAGGGACCCTGGAGTTTAGAAGGTGAGGGAGGGTACCCAGCCCCAGGCTGAAACCACTGCCCCCACATACACTACGCCACGGAGTGAGACTATACTATAACAGAGAGCCAGCACTGGAAAGGGGCATGACTTCAGGGCTCTACAGCCCAACTGGGTATCTGCCTGCAGCCTAGAGACCCCTATCCCCTGCAAGGCAGGAGTGGGTATGTAGGTATTTAGGTGGAGGCACTTACTGAGATAAATGTGGAAACAGAGCAGGTGGCCAAGGAGGGCTGTGGAGAGCAGGCCCAGAAGGATGAGTACGGCAGCCAGGGCCAGGATGGCAGGAGCCTGGGTCTCCACAGGGGCAGCAGGCAGGAACACGAACCACACATCCGTGTGATTCTTCAGGACTGCAACGCACAGACAGACTGTGCTCAGCCAAGGTTGTGACCAGTGACCAGAAGGGGCTCAGGGTTAGGGGATGGGAGTGGGCCTGGAGCCCAGACTAACCTTCAAAGTGGCGGTTGGTGCGCAGCCGCATAGGGTTGATAAAGAACTCCACGAAGACATAAGTGGCCACCAGCACGAGGAGCAGGACACCCAGTAAAGCAGATGCCACACTGTGTAGAAAGAGCCTGGGCCCAGCCGTGGGCAGCTGTCAGCACCCAGGTGCTCCAGCTGGGTAAGGGCCCAGAGCTCAGAAGGGTCTGTGGTTGGGATGGGGAGCCTGGCCTCTGACCCCACAGCCCCAACTCCTCATGAAGCCAAAGGCTAATGGTAAAGGTAAAAATGGATGGTCCCCCCATCAGACTCCTCACCCTTCCCTGGGCCAGCAGGAAGAAGACCCCAAACCTATCCTCAGTGTCCCAGGCAGCAGCCATCAGGAGCATCACCCTCAGACCAGCACACACTAATACACGCCAGCGGACAGGTCCTCCAAGCACCACCATCTCTGCACTGCCCCATATGCACACTCAAAGTCCATTGCTCATGCATTCAGACACGCGCATCCCTAGACACCCGTGAGGCCCAGGCCCCACTCTCACCGGTAGTTCCTCTCGCCCACGCAGTTGTTGAGCCACTTGCAGTGGTGGTCGAAGCCGCACACGCACTTGTTGCAGGCGCTGCAGTGCTTGGAGCGAGCGCTCCTGTGGGGAGGGAGGGAGCACATAGGGGTCGGCCTGCTCGTCCAGTCCTTCACCACCCGACCTGGCCGGGGCGGCAGGGTTCGAGAAGGGACTGCAGCACCAAGCCTGGAGCCGGTTACGGATCGGGCGACCCCGCCCGACAGCTGAGCACGGCGACGGGGAGCGCGCGCGCCCTCTGGTGGCACTGCGCGGCGGAGCACCCGGAGGAGGCAGCGCTTCTGAAGAGCCGGGACCCAGACGCGGGCTCGGGCGGAAGGCTATGGGGAGCATTATACTCTCACACTCTGGGACTGCGCACCCGGGTGATGGTGGTGTGAAACGGCAACGGGGCTGCCTTTCCAAGCAAGGACCCCTGCGCTGAGCCAGCAGATGATGCATGTATGAGGCCAGGGAGTGAAAGAGAGCAAGGTTGCCAGGCCCAGGGCCTGCATTGCACTTCCTGACATCTTCACTTTTTGAGTCCCTGTTTCCCTGCCAGACTATGGGAATTTTTTCTGGCATTCTCCCAAAAAGCCTCAGTCTGTCTGGCCTAATCCAAAAGGAGCCAAAGAAAGAGAAACAAGCGAACATCTGGGTGAGCGTTAGGTGACCGGTATGCAGTTCCCTGCAGGGGTTCAGATGAGGTGAGGCCACATTAGGAAGGCAAATGAGCCTCCTAGCCCCAGAGAGGGATCAGGGAAGCCCAAAGGAATGTGGAAGAGTGAGTCACCCGGTGTCCTGTCAGTCCCCCCGCAACCACAACAGAACAGAGCCCTGGAATGGGCAGCAACTGCCAGAGCATCCACTGAGGAACAATGAACATGCTGACTGGTGTCTAGTGAAGGGAAGGATGGACTGATGCCAAAGGCCTCAGTGCCTCAATGCTGTTGGATCTTTTTCTGTCCTACGGACAGATCCACTTCAACAGGCTGCCTGGTTCTTAAGATTAGCGGGGAGCTGGCCTTGGACCCCACCCTCATCCCGGATCCCCTACCTGAGGCTGGGAGACCGGGAAGCTTCAGGGAGTTGGGGGCAGGATGGGATGACTAGGGAGGCAGTCTGGACCAGCCAAGGGTAGGCTCTGCACATTGTGACTCCTCTCCCTACTAGCAGTGTGACCTGAAGCAAGTCACTTGGCCTCTCTGGGCCTCAGAGTCCTCATGAGTAAATGAGGATAATAATATCAGCTCGGAGGCCAGATAGGCTGGATTGTGAATCTGGCTCTGCTGCCCAATAGACATATGACCTCAGGCAGGCCTCTTAGCCTTTCTGAGCATTAGGCTCTTCCTTCTCTGTGAAGTGAGAAAGATGCGGCTTAGCACGTAGTAAGTACTCAAGCATTAACTCCCCTCCTCACCCCTATCTGGGAATACTTGTGAGAAATGGGAGGGAAGGGAGTGTTACTGGCAGAGTTAGTCATTAGAAATGTTTGTGGCAGAGCCAAACGTTTCCCACTTTGACTGCTGGAAATGCTATTCCTCGTCTTCTGTTTCCAGTCACCTTCTCCTCACCTTCTCCTTTACCCAATTCTCTGTCACTCCATCGAGATTCGTGACTGTGTAAAACTTGAGAGTCCTGAGGCATCAGGATGACTGTAAAGCCCTGGGCATGCCCCTCTCTGCCTTGAGCTCCTGCTGGCAGTTCCCTGGGGAACACTCATTGCCCACACACCCTCAGTCCACACGCACTCACACATCCACATCGCACAAGTTGCAGTGCAGGTCTTCGATGACGTGTGCATGTTGGCTGCGGTTGAAGATGGGCAGGGGCCCTGCGTAGCTCTTGTCCCGCACGTTGGCATCCGCTGGATCAATGGAGACAGCAGTCAGGTGCACCACAAGGTGGCCGGCAAAGATGACGCCCATACACTGGCCCAGCAGGTTAAAGACTCACTCCACACTCTGCCAGCTGGGCGCCCCACTCCTGCTTCCTGTGGCTAGAGAACTGCTCTCCACCTACATATAACTCCCCCATGCAGAGACTCTCTGCCTGTGCCTCTTCCTACCTCCACCCCCGGAGAGCTTCCTTGTCAGACCTCTACAGCATACCTGTGCCCCAGATGGAAGAGGAGAAGGGCCAGCTGGTAATGGAGCTCACAAGCCAGCACTGCCTACTGCTGCCAAGGGCCCCCAAACACAGGGCCCTGGCCTCACTGCTCCAGGCCTGGTGCAGGCCCTGCTGGTCTTACCTCAGAATCTGATTTGGTTTCAGATTCTAAATGGTGAAGTGAGACTGAAAGAGATTATCCTCTAAAGTCAAGAGACCTAAAATAAAAGTTCTAAGCTTGTTTATCTTGCTTTCACAGGAAGTCAGCTCTGAGAGGGAAGCAGCCACCCTTTCCCAGAAGCTGGGCCAGATGGAGAATCACTTGCAGACAGGGCCTCATACACCCACCACCTCCCTGACCTGCAGCCCAGGTACATAGAGCCCTGGGGCTGAGTGTCTGGGATGGCCTGTCACATTCGGGACCTGGCCAGGGGTAGCATGGCTAATTCCTAGCGCTGAAACACAGATCTTGCAGGACCTATCTGCTCAATGATTGAACCACATGCTAGAGACAGGTATGCTCACAATTTGCTGCAAAGTCTGAATGTGTAAAAATTCACCAACAGATTCCACTCAGGCAGCCATCCTCCCTCCCTCCCTCCCTCCTCTTGCTAGCCAGGCAGACATCATCCCTCCATCATTTATCCTCCATCCATCACCTGTCCAACGCCCTTTTCTCCCTTCTTCTACCCCGCAGCAGCCAAATTTCTGTACATGTCTGCATGAGCCAGGCTCCACCCTACTGTGCTGCACCACAGCTGAAAGAGACAATCCCGTGGCCCATCACAGCCTCTATCCCTACGGTCCTGGCTATGGGTCAGGCCTTCACCTCTTGCCTGAGTTATTCCATAGTCTCCTGACTCTGCTCCTCCTCTCTGGGTCCCCTTGAGACTGCCCTTCACTTGGTCTCAAAGTAAGCTTTCAAAAACTTAAACCTAAAGCCTTACCTGCTTAAACACCCGCAATGGGTCTCAATGGCTCTCAAGCTAAAGTTTACTCTTTAGCTCAGTGCCAAAGCCCCTTTTGCTCTGGCTCCTCTCAAACCTCTCTGGTATCACCAACCACTACTCCTCACCATTCCAGCCTCTCTTCAGACACACTGAATGTGGGCAAACATTTAGTTTCCTGCCTGCTGCAACACTTCTCCCACCCCCACCCCCTGGTTCATTCATTCAGCTGTTTACCAAGGTCTTTCTCTATACCAGGAACTGAAAGATATGGCAGGAGCAAGACAGACTTGGTCCCTAACCCCAAGGAGCCTACAGTCTGGTGGGAAACACAGACATTAATCAAATAATGGGTTGATTGTAATGAAGAAAGTTAACAGGACTGTGTGAGTTTGTAACTGGGCGACCTCGTCTGGTCTGAAGGGATCTGGAAAGCTTCCCTGAGGAAGTATCGTCTCAGTTGAGACTTGGAGAAGAACAGATAACGGGGACCTGGCAGGGAATGGAAGGAGGAGAAGGAGCCTGGCTGTGTACCGGGAGCAAGCAGAGTCCCAACCAGAGGGGTGGCTGACGTGTGGTTCCAGCTCAGCTCATTGCTGCCATGCAAGAACGAGGGCCCATGTCACCAATTCTGGCTTTTCAAAAGGAACAAGGAATCTGTTTTTCTATGTGAGGTCTCTGATTTTTTAAATGTTGACAAGGAAATAATTTTTAAAACACACCTGCTGAAGGAATGCTTAAGATCTATTTTGCGTGTTATTATCTCTCAGTTAAAAAAGAAAAATTTTTTTCAGGTAGGCCCACTTGGCCCACGGGCTGCCAGTTCTTGACTCCTGACTTGGCCGAGTGTTGGGGTGGAGAGAGGGACAAGGGGCTTCCAGGAAGAGACCACTGTTACCACAACAGAGAACAACAGAGGAAATAATATAAGAGGCTGGGCAGGTGGGCAGAGTTCAGAACATGGAGAGCCTTGAGGATCTTGAACCTCATTCCTTAAGGCAGGAAGAAGCCATGAGAGGGTGTTAAGCTAGGGAGCAATTTTATCAGATTTGTTTTTTGAAAGGACATTCTGGCTGCAGGGACACAGATGGACTGGCCAGAGTGACAGTATGTGGGGGGGAGACCTGTTCGGAAACAAAATGGTCATCTAGGTAAGAGAGGCAGAAGCAATGGGGAGAAAAAGACAGCTAATTCAATAGCTATTTAGGAGGTAAAATCAATAGGACCTGATGACTGACGGGATAGAGCAGATGAAGGAAAGGGGCGGAGCCGAGAGTACCTGGAGAGGCAGATGGAGGGGAGGAGGGGAGCCGTGAGCAGCAGGTGGCATCTGGGCCCATGGTGACGTTGGTCTAGACGGCCCTCCTCCTGCACCCAGTCTGCTGTCTGAGCCCTTACCCCCAAACTTACCACGTGACAATCTCCAGTCTACAAGGCTTTCCTCCAGCTGGAGGGAGCACCCCAGGGCTGGGGTCCTGACTTACTCATCTTTGCAACCCTAGGGCCCAGGCCAGTTCCAGGCCCGAGGTGCGTACTTGGTACACACCATTACCCTACCTCACTCCTCAGGGGCCCTGAGGGAACCTGCAGAAGGAGGATGGCCTTGATGGAAGGAAGGAAAACCATCCAAACCTGGAAATGGGGTGCCAGACCAGGTGGCTCTGTGAGCCTCCACAATGCCCAAAACAATGACTGTGGAGAGGACAAAACCCTTAAACCATCCCCCTGCCTGAGCAGCCCTTTGGGCCTCACTGAGTACCAGCTGCATGACCTCAGGAAGTCACTTAATCTCTCTGAACCCCAATTTCTTCACTAGTAAAGTGGGGAGAATACCTTCCTTACAGATTATTATGAAGACTGAATGAGATAATCCATGTACAAGGTTGGCACAGTGCCTTTATATAGTGTGGGGTGTGCCCAGTCCAGATCACTGGAGGAATGTTCCATGAAGCATTCTACTTAATAGCACTAAGCCCTATTGGTCACCTCAGGGGAAGTCCAGCTTTCCATTTACAAAGCTGATGACTAGGCTCTGGGCCCTAGTGAACCAAGAAGCCCCATAATGACGCTGCTGGTGTTTGAGGACAACAATCTTCTCTAGAGACCCTCTCTACACACCTGCCCTTGTCACTCAGCAGCCCAGGGCTCTGCAGTTTCCCAAGAGGGCATGCTCATACTCATGGCTCACACATTCTAGTGCTCACACACACATCCTTGCATGCTCCTTGTCTCCACCTTGGGAAGCAGGCAGAACTCTTCCTGTCAGACAAAGAAGAAGGCTGAACTCTGGAGCCCTGGAAGAAGCTGCTCAGCCTTGTGCAGCCTGAAAGGACTGGGCTTGGACCAAGCTCAGCTGCTGACTCTATGCCCGAGGCTTTCAAGTTCATCCCTGCCAACGTCCTTTAGCTCATCTTAGCCCTCTTCCTCCAGAGGCCCAAGGAATCATCTCCATGAAGCACATACACCAGGGCACATTGTCATGGGCACCCTCTGAACAGGGCACATGGCCGCCTGCTGTACCCTAATCTCCCAGCCTTGCACCCACATCCTCTGCTCCTGGGGGTCGTGGCCAGGGCTGGGGCAGTCGCACCACTAGGCTTGTGCAAGTTCGTGTTTGTCACTGTTTCCAGGAGCTTCCAGGGCATCTTTATCCCTCTTCTTGTCAATTCAACCTCACCCTAAAAGGTTCTGATTTACAAAATCAAAGAGTTCCTAAACAGTTCTGGGTACAGCATAATAATCTGTCCGTAAATAAAACCACATTTTAAATGTACCAGGAAACTTGCTATGTAAAAGAATTCTACCGTGACTCTTTTTGAAAAGTAAAAAATTCTTTTGTAAGTGAAATAATTACTCTCTAATTTATCCCTTGTTGAGTTCTGGACACAATTAGCTCAAAGAGAGCTTTAAGGCTCCCTTCTGTCATCACTCTTGCACATCCCTCCATCCATTGCCCTCACTCTTCCATGCACCAGCCCCACACTTTCCCAAGGATACAGCATAGCCAGCAGGCACCCAGTGGTGAGGCAGGAGGGGAACGAGGACCCCAAAGCCGATCACAGCAAAGAAGAGGTATAGCAGCCATGCCACAATCTGGAGTGGGTGAGGGGGCCAGCTCCACCCATTCCGGCGGGATCGCTGGCCCTGCAGCTCTGGGGAGGGTCTGCTGGCTTGTGCAGGCGCTGTCCATACACTCTTCTCAGGGGCTGTCTTGTTGGAGGGCTTGTTGCAGATGTTCATCTCCAGAGGGAGAAACAGTAGAGAGAGCATTAGCCTGAGGAGGCCCAGGCTGGAGCCCAGAGCCCCATGCTTGCAGCCAAGTTTCAGCAAGGGAGGAGCAGACTAGGATGGGAAGCCATCTTCCAGCTACTCTGCAGGGGAACCAGGGGCCCTAGCATGACAAAGTCTGGCAGTGGGGGAGGGTGGGAGTGGAGTGCTGGTCTCAAAGCCCCACAACAAGTTCTGGCCCCAGCCCTGGCCAGGACAAGGTAGGAGGGTCCAAGGTTTATTCAGGACACACTGTGGCTGCCTGTTACTCAAAGTGCTGTCTCCACAGCCATCAAAGTTAAACCCAGTAAGACATGTTCTCATCTGGTAACAATATCAGGCTGGGGCCAGAGCGATGAGAACACATGCTGATTCTGTTAGGATTAGTCACCTCTGTCCTCAGGCCCAAATGCAAGTGTCAGAGAGGGTCCCCTTACCCTTTGCTAAGGGAAACAGGGAGGGGTGGGGGGTGGCTGAGGAAGGGGATCTGGCCTCTGCCTCTTGGCAAGCACGTAATCCTTTTAGGACTGGAGGACCCTGAACCATCTTCCCTGTGCCTCAGAAGGGCTGCCTGAGGTTTCTTAGCTGAGGAGGAGCCAGTACACGAGAAAAGGGAGGATTCCTCCTTGGTTTTCTCCAGCAGCAGAAATGACCGTGTTTCTCTAAGTAAATCTGGGCCTAGTGCACCGAAAGCAGAAAGGTAGGCTGATGCCCTTTGACTCACTAAAGGGAGCTCAGGGAAGGCCAGGCCTTAGCCAGAGCCAGACCACCAGATGGCAGCACTCTCCCACCCCCAACCTGCCATTCTTCAGCCCAAGAGCTGGCCTGGTAGCCAAAGTTACACGCAGGGCAGGCAGGGTGGGCCTGTCGGTACAGGAGGAAGAGCCCCACCCCCACTATCTTCTGGGCCTGAGGTGGGACTAGAGCCTGAGCAGGCACCGCCACACTTGGGAACACAAGTCAACTCAGAGCTCTTGGTGGGAAGGCCAGGAACTAGGGACAAAACTCTGATGGCTGGACTCTCCTTTCAGGAGCCTGTGCCCATGGGCCAGGGAGTCTGACTAAGCCAAAGGGTATGGCAGACCCCCCTCAGCACATCTGCCTGGAACACTTTCCTTACTTCTCAGCCCAACAAAGTGCGACTAGACCTTCAGAGCCCACTGTGTCACCTCATCCAGGAAGCTTTCCCTGATGCCCCAAGCAGAGTCAGGGGGCCCTCATGCTCAGTCTTTATGGGGCAAGTCACTCTGCCATTTGTAACACTTTGCCATCCCCATGTCTGCCCCCGTTATGCCGGGGCAGCAAATGTACTGTGATTCATGCACCTCTGTTCCCTACATCCCTCCCCCAAGCACCCAGAACCTACCTTGTACATAGTAGGTGCTCAGTAAATATTTGCTGACATGAAAGCATCTGAAATAAAAGGAAATGTGGGCGCGGTGAATGGTGTGGAATCCTGGTCCACCTGTAGCCATCTGGCCCACTCTGCCCTGCCATCAACTTGCACAGCTCCCATGCACCCACATCCCCCGTCCCAGCTCCCCCTGCCACGAGCTATTACCCTGACTGCCAGACATTCCCACTTAGCCACTCTGCCCTTCATCCTGGCTGAGGCTCAGGGCCTCCTGTAAGCCAAGCCTGGGATATCTGAAGTCACCTCTGAGTAGCTTCATCTCAGAGCTAAATGGAGTGACTTAGTTTTCTCCCAGGGACTCAACTGGAATCCTTTGGTTATTTGCTTTGTCTTCAGTAAGAGGCAGCAAAAGGTGAAAAAAGAGCCCTAGCTTTGGTGGAAACAGATCTAGGTTCAAGTCCTGGCTCTGTACTTACCAGCCAAGTGGCCTGAGTTTCCCCATCTGAACAAGGGGTCGGGATCCTACCTAGGGCTGCATATAGATCAGTGACACTGTAGGTAAAACCTTGACACAAAAATGCTCCCTAAATGGTAGACGTTATAATTACCCTTAAAATAGCTCTCTGGGTTGTCCTCACATCTCCAGACTGCAGCTACTGCATCTGATATTCTCCAAGGTTTATGACCAAAGTGATAGGGTTGGTTGAAGTTGCTTTCTTAAGTCAGTGGTCCCAAGGAACACCGCGTCATAAGAGCTGGGCCACTCTAACCTTCTCACCTTCAATCTAAGGTGATAAAGATGATCAAAAAGTTGGCATCACTTTATTATGAATGTCCCCAGAGGTAGCAAATCATTGTTCTTGACTTTTGGAAATAGTCAAAGGTCATCAGGTCAAGCCCTGTGAATTACAGCTGAGCTAGGTGGTTCTGCTAGGGGTGGGGTTAGGGGAGGCAAATTCCTGTGGCTCACACCTTGGCTCTCCAGTGACCCCATCACTAGGGCAACTACTTTGAAGGGAATTTATGAATTGGGGTCCCTAAGTTCTGGCTTTCCTTTTGCCATCCTCACACCTAAACAGCCCTACTAGAGAGTTTCTAAAAAGAGAAGCAGAGGCACAAGGCTGACATGTCCCCACTGCCCAGGGTACCTGGCAGTGGCTGCAGGCACCCCCAGTGCTGCTGCATCGCCAATACCTGAGGTGGGAGGAGTCACTGTGTGAGGGCAGGGGCCTACCACAAACAGCCTTGGGGGTGGCTCCAACTCCAAAACAGGGTGGTCTTGACCCAGAGAGGTACCACTTGCATGACACTGTGGATGAGGGGACGGTGCTGTTGGGTCTAAGTCCCTTGCAGCAGTGGCAGCACTCTAGAGTAGACACCGAGCTGGCCAGGAGGCATACCACCTGCCCCAAAAGCCTGGGCTAGCCAACTCTTAACTGATGACATTTTCCCTTGTGGAGTTCATGGCCACAAATTCTTTTGGCCTAAAAGATTTTTTTTTTCCTGCTTTTTCTCTCCAAATCCCCCCAGTACATAGTTGTATATTTTTAGTTGTGGGTCCTTCTAGTTGTGGCATGCGGGACGCTGCCTCAGCATGGCCTAATGAGTGGCGCCATGTCTGCGCCCAGGATCCAAACCAGTGAAACCCTGGGCCGCTGAAGCAGAGCGTGCGAACTTAACCACTCGGCCACAGGGCCAGCCCCTGGCCTAAAAGATTTGGATTAAAAGGTTTGGGAGGTAGGAGAGAGTGCAAGATGGGGCCTCAAGCACGAAGGAGACCAAGCACTGTCACCACACCCAGGCACTTCTCTAGGAGGTCAGATTGAAAGATGCATGGCTCTGCTCCTAAACAACGCACCAGCTTGTGCACTCACACCTTGGCCCAGTCAGTGCTTACTGGGGCCCAGCCCTCTGTGTGCACTAAGGGTGTAAACATACCTGAGACCAGGCTCCTGCCCTCAGGGACTTGCTTTCTGAGGAACCAGACAGACATCAGGGCAGTGGGTGAATGGGTATTTTGGTAGCCTTGCAAGGGCCAGCCATTCAGTGTGACAGAACACAGGGTGGATAGGTTTGGGGGTTGGAGGTAGGGTCCAGAGAGAAAGAGAGATGAGCTCTGGGAAGCCACGGGGTCAGATCCCACAGGGCCTGGGAGGCCAAGTGAGGAAGCTTGGGCATTGTTGCAAGAGCCACAGAGCATCACAGGAAGTTTAATGCAGAGGTGTGACATAAAGGTGATGGATGTTTTAGAAAACTTTCTAGTCACAGTGGGGAGGAGGACATGAGCAAGAGGGGAAAGGTGAGCAGCGGGGGAGGTGCCATCACAGCAGGCTTGCCCAGGGAGAGCTGCAGTCTAGCAGCCCTGTGCTTTGGGAGGAGTTGGGAGGTGGAGGTCAAGCCCACAAGCTCCCCCGGGCCCTCAATGCTCCCAGCTGCATCTTTGGTGGGCTGAGAGGTATGTGGCCCTTGATAAAAGATTCTTCATACACCTTCTGCTGCCACAGAACAAACCACAGAGTTAAGCTGGCAGAGATGGGGGAAACCAATAGCAAAGAGATCCCATGGAGTGTTGTGGCCAAAGGTAGCCACCCTGTTGGTAAGCCAAGGACCCACTTAGCTTCTGAGGCGGGCTGGAGGGGCTGTGCAGACCCCTCCCTTGTCCCAACAAGGTGAAGGCCATTGCCAGGTTGACAGTAATCTGTTTATGTTAACATTCACTTACTAAAAGCCTCAAACGGCATTTGCAAAATTAGGTTAGGCTACCTTAGTTTATATGCCTAATTTAAATGAGGGAAATCTTAACATATCAAGTCCCCATTATGAAATGTAGAATAGTTACATGACTGATTCACCTTCCTCTTGCCCACCTCTTCTCCCACCAAAAACATATTTAGTAACGTTGTTCTGAGATTCATGAATGGTACTGTCAAAAGAACCAGACTGCGGTGAAAAGTACCAGCCCTGGAGAGGCTGTGGGCATCCTTGCATTCCTGCAAGATGTCTGAGGATTCCAGGAAAGAATCAACTTAATTACTAAAGAGGGTTTGTAAGGGGAGATCATGGAACTGGGAGGATAGATTGATGGGGTCAGAGGAGAGATGACAGGGCTGATGTGGGGGCTTGGAGGGCCTGGGGACCTGAGCCACTGATAGGCAGAGACAGGTTGGAGCCAGGGAAAAGGGCTAGGCCTGGAGACAGAGTCTGGTTCTAGTTCCTACACTGCCACTCACAGACCAAGGAATCTGGGGATGGGGGAGAAATCTCATAGAGTCACCTCTTTGGGTCTCTCCTTTATTCTTCTTTCAAAAAGTTAGCTGGAAGTCAACCTGGCAATATCTACCAAACTTTAGAACACATACACCCTTGGGCCCAGACATTCTGTTTCTAGGTATTTATCTTATACATAAACTCACAAAGTACACAGTGATTCATTGCAGTCTTGTTTGTAATAATAAAGGACAAAAAAAAATATAAACAAACTATGGCACATTCACACAATGGAATGCTGTACAACATCAAAAACAATAAGAGATGAAATGACCTTTGATACACAGTTAAGTGGAAAAGCAAGATGTGGGATGGCTGTGGAGCAGTGCCACTGAGTTAGCAAAAACAAAGGGGGATGGATAGACATCTATGTTCTTACACGCACAGATTCTCTCTGGAAAGAAATGCAAGAAAGCAGACACAGGGGCAATCTCTGGGAAGGAGATCTAGTGGCTGGGGGTGAGACAGATTTGCTTTTACTATGTACTCCTTGGTACTGTTTGAAATTTTTTTATACCATGTGTATGTACTGGTTTTGAAAAAAACACAAATAAATACTTGAGGGGTGTCCCTGCTTACCCTCCTGGCCCCACTGGGTTGCCATGTGGAACAAATGTGCTCGTGTGATCCAGAGCCCTGCACCATGTCAGACAGACAAGGAAATCCTGCCTAACAACCGTGCAACATGAGTGCTCAGTGTTAGTTCAATGCTTTCTCACTCTTGAAAGCAATTCTGAGTCCTTCAGCTGCAGAGCAGTGAGAAAGAGATGCAGGGCTCCCTACTAGCTGTTGGGGGTCTTGTCAAAGCCAGAATCAGACAACCAGGCAACACAAGAGAGGAGTTGCTGGGCAGAACCTTGTTCCAGTCCTCAGCCAAAGGCCAGGTCAGCTCCTCACAACTCCAGAACCAAAAGGGAGGCTGCACACCACAGGAAGGTTTTGCTCCCAACTATCTTTTCTTTTTGCTAGAGGATTTATGGTTGCTACGCAAATGATTTTCCACGGATATTTCTAATCAACTTTTCAGGGTTTTTTGCAGAATCTGCTTTTAAAGTAATTTTCACCAAGATTTAATAGATGCCCAATTTAACCACCTAAAGGGAGGCTTGAAAGAAAATGCTGTATGGAGCACAGTTTTACAGTGCAAAAAGTCATTTATAAAAGAACTTTCAAGGGTGAGTACTTTGTTTATTAAAATTCCCCCACAGGTGCCAGAGAAGTCTCTGGCCTTAAAATTCTGGGAAGTGGCTATAGTTTGACTAACAGATGCACATCACAACAACTCCCAGGAAATAAACTGGAACTTCAAGCTGCTCTCAGAGACCTCTCCAATCATCAATCAGTCTCAGATGCGGCTGGGCTCCTCACGGAAACAATATGCAAAAGTCTGGTTCGAGGGATAAAAAACCTTGAAACCTCAGTCATTCCTGAGTTGATGTGGTCTGCAAACATTTTCCGGGCCGTTCTCCTCCTGAAGCAACCACTGCAAACTGTTTGGGATTCAAGTTAAGCCAAGGAAAGGGGACAAGAAGGAGGGAGCAACATGGAGCAAAAACAAAGCCACCGAGCAGAGGTAAGTGTTGATTTTAACCAGGAAATCAACTCACATGATTGTAGGAGGAAGCCTTGAGGAACACCCACCAAGAAACAGTCATTAAGAACAAAGTAAGAAAAAAAAAAAACTGAAACAACAAGAAACTGGCTAATTAAGCACCAATGTTGCTTTTATTGTATCTCATGGTGATGATCTGTTTACAAACCAGCCTCCCTCAGTGAACCACCAGTTCCACAAAAGCAGGGCCTGCCCCTCCCCCATTTCTAAATCCAGCTCTCCTTCAACAAGGGAAACTAAGCCACTTCTTACCATCTCTGCTGCCATCACCCTAATCCAAGCCTCCATCACTGCTCTCCTACAGTGTTTCAAAGATAATGATAACCATCACCAGCATTTAGAGGGCACTTATTCCACACCAGGCACTGCTTTAAGTCTTTGAGGGAATTCACTTATTAAAGCCTCACGACTCTCGGAGCTAGGCCCTATAGTTTCAAACTGTTCTCATAGACCTCTCTAGTCACTGGTCTCAGATGTAGCTGCCACCTCACTTTCTCCCTCATAAACAACAAGCAGAATAACATCTCCTTTTCACAGATGAGGACGCTGAGGTTCAGAAAGACTAAATAAGTTCTTCTAGGAGGCACAGCCAGACCGGCAGAACTAGGATGGGCCTCAGCTGACTTCCCCCTGTGCCCTGTCCTGACCACCCTGCCCACAGCAGCCAGAGTGAGGTGAGCTTTTCAAAACTTGAAACTTATCAAAACTCTTCAATGGTTTCCTCCAACTGCTAGGACAAAGTTGAAACTCCCCAACACATCCTCCAAAGCTCCCCTCACCCTTTCTGTTCCTAAATCCTACTTTGCTGCCTCCAGATCTTTCCATTTGCTTTTCCCTCCTCCAGAAACACTCTTACCCTGCTCACAATGCTGACTCCTTATCAACCTCCAAGTCTTAGCTTAAAAGTCACCTGTTAACAGCAGGCCCTCCCTGACCACCCCACTGCATTTCATCACCAGAGCGCTTATCTTGACCTGAAATCACTTTGTCTATCTGGCGCCTGCTCCCCGCCCTGTCTTCATACTCCGTGGGTTCTGGACACTGGTCGCATCTGTTTGGAGTCCTCCGTGGCCCCGCGCCTGGCACCAAGCCTGACACACAGTAGGCGCTCAGTGCAGATCTGTGAACCCGATGAATGCTAGAAGGAAGCCCCGCGCTCTCCCCGGTCCCTGGAGCCCTGGCCGCGGGCTCCAGACCCAAGCGAGCGCAGAGCCCGGCTGGGCGGCCCAGCCGCGACCCCGAGGCTCAGGTCAGGCTTGGAGGCGAGAACTGCGGCGGTGGCTCCTCACCTGCGCGTCGTGGCGGCCGAGCCAGATCGGCCCCGCGAAGGTCACCCAGCGGTCCAGCCCCCGCGCCTGGCCGTCCTCCCTCCCCAGGGCGGCCGCGCTCAAACCGTCGCGGCGGAGACGTTTCCCGGGACCGGGCGGCGGCGCGCCACGGACCGGGGCCCCATAGCGGGCCGCACGGCAGAGCTGGGCCGGCAAGTCTTCGGGCTCCGGCTCGAGCGGGCTGGCAGTGCGGCGGGGCCAGGCCGAGGCGGGCAGGGCCTCGGCCGGCGCTGGGCCCGTTCCCCTGGCAACGGCGCGGGCTACGGCGCCCCGCAGCGGCCAAACCGCGCTGCGTCGCTTCGCGCCGGCACCCGGGCTCCGGGAGGGGCTCGCCAGGGACCCCTTGGCGCCCCAGCCGGAACGTTCCCCATTCCTTTCCAAACTTTCTCCTCTAAAAACCACTATCCCCTACCGCCAATCCACAGCCTTTCTTCTGGAAATCCTGACTTGTCCCAAATGCGTGCCCCGCCCCCCCTTCAGTTTCTCCCTTGAGACTACCAATCTCAGGGAGACCCCCTCAGTCAGCCTGCACACTTTAGTGAAAGTGTGTGCTGGGCACTGGACCCACCATGAGGAACACCCACGAGATTCCTGCCTTTTAGGGAGATTACAGGCTAAGGAGAAGACAGATCTAGACAAATAAATACACAAATAGATACTCAGGTGCCCCATAATATAAAGTGTAAAAGTTAAGTATAAAAAGCCCAAATGTGTAGCACAAAATATCTCCTTTCTTTTTTTCCTTTAAATCAAGCGTAAATCCTATTAGGAGGCCTCATCTTCTAGGCTGATGGGAAATTAAGTCTTGGTCTCTACTGGGCTTCTCTTACCCAGATTATTCCAAGGACTGAGAATCTCTGAGAAGCATCCTCTGGTCATGGATCCTCTCTGGTACTGAGGCCACAGCCGTTGTCCCATCCACAGGAATTTTAGGTTTGGGCTTTGTGGGGTCATGCCTGCTGCCCTGGTGCTGCCAGGGCATAGGTGCCTGCTTCCTCTGTTCCATGGCCTGCAGATTCTCTTCCTTTTTCCTGCCTGAGGGATCTCCCTACTGGATATGACTTCCCTGAAAGCTCCCTCTCCCCTTTTCCCTGTGGACACTCAGAATGGACTCAGCTCTACCTTGAGCTCAGGCTTTCTCAAAAGACAGAAAGACCCTTTGTCTTCCACCAGATGTCCTATCTGTATCTCTAAGGTCCTGAACCTGTGCGCAGTGGTCTGGCTACCTGCTCAGAATGGGCTGGACAGAAAACATCCCTACCCCTAAAATAAGCCACAAGCATATAATAAAAGCAACATAACAACTCCTGCTCTGTCACATGCCAGTTGTGGGTCCTTGTGCAAGTGACTTAATCTCTCTGCAATATAAATTATTGTGTCCAGAACTACTCAATGTGGAATAAATATCAGTGCCACTCTGGCCTCAGAAATATAAGATGACTCCTCAACTCTTATATGGAATTGGAGAATTTAGGGTCAAACAGAGATGGCGACCCAGATATCAAGGTGGATCATGAGCCCACGTATGCCCACAGGGAGGGGAGGGACCTGAGAGTCACAGCTATTTAGACTCTGGGTCCACCCCTCTCCCAGGCACCTCTCCTGGATGTCCCATGGGCATCTAGATGGAACACATCCCTACATGCCCTCTTAGTCCTTGCCACAAACCCCCCTCTCCCTTCGGGCCCTCCAAAGGGCATCACTATCCACCCAATCTCCTCCTAGTCCTTGCCCATCTAACCCAGACAGTCCCCCAAACCAGGCAGTCCTTCCTAAGAAACATGTCCTGTATCCATTCTTCCCACTCAACTCCGGCCCAGAGCTGCCTCTTATCTCGTAGCAGCCTGCTTACTTCCAGTCCATTCTCCTTCCAGCTGCCAGGCTTATTTTTCTTTCTCTTTATTTGTCAAAGTGGGTGGTAGTCTGAATAATAGCCCCTAGAGATGTCCACGTCCTAATCTCTGGAGCCCATGACTATATTACCTTACATAGCAAAAGGGACTTTGCAGATACGTTTAAGTTAAGGATCTTGAGATGGGGGAGAGTATCCTGGATTATCCAGGTAAATTCAGTGTAATCACAAGGGCCCTTATAAGAGGGAGGCATCAGGGTCAGAGTGGGAAGAGATGTGGTCATGAAAGCAGAGGTCGGAGAGGTTTGAGGATACTATGCTGCTGTCTTTGAACATGGAGGAAGAGATGTGTGAGCCAAGGAATGCAGGCAGCTCTAGAAACTGGAAAAGGCAAGGAAACAGATTCTCCTTTAGAGCCTCCAGAAGGAACCAGCCTGCTGACACCTTGACTTTAGCTCAGCGAGACCCATTTCAAACTTCTGACCTCCAGAACTGTAAGATAATAAATTTGTGTTGTTTTAAGCCACTGAATTTGTGGCAGTTGTTATAGCAGCAATATGAAAGTAATACAGTGGGTTTCAAATAGGGATAGATCCACATGCACATAACTAGTTAAAGCTGTTTTACTTGAAACAAAAATCCAAGTGACAGCTCAGATTCCCTCGATGTCTGCCTGAGTGACTCCAGGCCAGGCTTTCTTAGAATTGGACTCCCTCTGGCCAAATTTGCTTTTTAAAGACACAGGCAGTTTGATAGTGTTCTTCTGAGTCTGTCATTACCATGCGGTCCCCAATCCAGAACGTGATACTGCCCGGGGCATCACCTAATGAGGAAGACCACACGTTGCCTGCTCCCGGGCAGGCAGATGGCAGAGAAATCTTCCTAAGGTGAAAACACCACCTCATCACTCTTCCATTTAAGGTACTTCCAGGGCTCCCTTCTTCTGCCTTTAGGATCAATTGAAATGTCATGGCATGGCTTCCCTGCCTGGAAAGCTCCTCCACCTCCTCACCCCTGTCCTCTGTGAGGATTGTGCAGCTCCTGGAACCCACAGCATTAGCTTTGACCCCCAGGCCTTTTCCCACAGGATTCCCTTTACTTGGAGTGTAGTTCCAGCTCCTCCCACCCTCTCTGGCCAATTTCTATAAAAATGTGAGGCACATTTTTTCAGGGACAGAAGTCAGCCCCTCCGGCAGGACTTGTTCCTGGCCAGAGCTGCTGCCCCCAACCGGCAAGGCAGGTCTGCCCAGGGTGGGGGATCCCAGGTCAAGGGGAGAAAAAGCCCAACTCTGGTTTTCAGGGCTTGCACACACGTGTCTGAGAAGATTCTGAGCTGGCTGACATGACTCCTAGAATTGCCAGAAGAGAGTCCCACTTGGGCAAGCAAAGACGGCTCATTCCACCTTGGGCTGGAACCAGCGACCTGTCCTTAATTAGAGCCAGAGTACACGGGGCTTTCTGGGACTTGTCACCGGTTACTTGTTTCAATCCCAGCTCTGCCAGTCACCAGCTGAACAAATTCTTTAACCTCTCTCAATCTCAGTTTGCTTCTCTGTGAAATGGGGGTAACAACAGCTACTGCCTAGGGCTGTGGTGATGCCTGAAAATGTAGTCATGTATATAAAGCACATAGAGAATGTTCAAGTGGTAGTAGACATTGATACATTTAATCTAGACCTGACTTATCTTTCTACCCGGAAATGATGCTTTCCATTTCATCAACTAATGGAATTAAATTTTAATTATCAAATTAGCCTGGGTGGGACGTGGTCAACCACAACTCTTGCTCTCTGGGTCCACTTCGTCTGGGTCACAGTACCCTTTCCAAGAGGCCCTGCATGAGTCAGCCTATCCATTTGGCTTGTCCCCATGGCCACCAGCATCTCTTGTTCTGGCAAGCACAGCAGCCTTCTAACTGGTCTTTCTGTTTCCACTGTGGGCTCCCCGTCCCCCACCAGTCCATTCTCCTCACAGTTTGTGGCTGTCTTTAAAAAGAAAAAAGCCAAACTGATTATTTTACTTCTTGCTTACAACCCTCAATGACTCTCCCTCCTCCCCAGGGAGTGGTATTTCGATATACCATGAAATTAGAATCAAAATCTCCTTCTCACTGCAGCCTCCAAGACCTCCCTTGTCCCCTGGCTCTGGCTGAGCTCTGCAGCCTCATGGACTCCCTTTCCTGGAAGGACCAGGCTCCTTCTTATACTAGGGCCTTTGCGTATGATGCTCTTACTACCTGGCACATCACTTCCTCCAGGAAAACTTTCTCTGACACTCAGAACAGAAGAGGCCATTGCTCCCGTAGCACCATGGGACTCTGCTTTCTAGTTCCTTCCGTCAGTGGCTCCTTGACTGTATAGTCATCGATTAGGGGCTGTCCCTCCAGTCAGAGACCACAAGGAAAGGAATGATGTTTGTTTTGGTCACCATGGCTTCCCAAGCACAGAGCCTGGAACACATAAGCACTCAATAGATGTTTGTTGAATGAAGGAAGGAAGGACTGAATAAATGGAAGCATAGTGCTATGTATAACACTTTTGTAAAGTAAACAATACCTGTGAAGCCTTTTTTAAAGTAAATAATACCTGTTGAATTACTTTTGGTGTAAAAATTGACCTTCCTATATTACCAGCCTTTCAATATAGTAAATCTGTTTTTCCATGTCCTTTGTAAAGCATTTCTTTTTTAATTTGCTACATTCAAGACACTCTCCTCCTATTAATTTTTCCATGTTAGTGGTTTTTACGACTGCTTTGTGCTTTAAGAAAGAAATGCTATTCGGTATTTAGAATATTCTCTCAGCTTCCTTAGTGAGAAGGCTCTGGTGGCTTTCTCACTGTTGACTATAACCAGTGCAGCTTGGAACACAATGTCACCCTGCAGAACTCTCTCGGACATAGATAAAACTTATTTTGTGTCTCCAGTTGGGAACAAGGTGTTTGGAAGCAGTACCTTATGCAACAGAAGTGCTGTAGGGCTGTCCCTCGGAGGCAAATGAAATAAAGATCATGGTGTGTGGAAAATGTGCCCACAGAGTGCTAGGAATGAAGGATTTTAAAGCTTCTCTGCCAGTAATTCAGTTTTTACTTTATGTTTCTTGGAAAACTGATTGCTTGTATTTACCACATGTGTTATCTAAGATGCAGACGGTGGGGGCAGGGGGGTGGCGGGGAAAGGCCTCCGGGGCCGGCTCCGTGGCCGAGTGGTTAAGTTCACGTGCTCCGCTGCGAAGGCCCAGGGTTCAGATCCTGGGCGCGGACATGGCACCGCTCGTCAGGCCACGCTGAGGCAGCGTCCCACATCCCACAACTAGAAGGACCTGCAACTAAGATATACAACTATGTACGGGGGTGGGGGGGGGGGCGGGGGGGGTGTGTTGGGAAATAAAGCAGA